CTAGTGACATTGAAGGTAATATTAAAGGAATATTCCAGTGATATTGAGGGAATATTCCACGGTTATATTGAATTTTTTTTTAAAGGGTTGAAATAATAGAAATGTGTTATAAATTGTTATTTGAATAAGCAGGAAGATTAAAAACACATTTAAAAAAAATGCAATATAACCGTGGAATATTCTCTCAATATCACTGGAATATTCTCTCAATATCACCTGAATATCCCCTTAATGTCACTGGAATATTCCATATGAATGTCACCGAGGAATATTCCCTCAATGTCACTGGAATATACACTGAATGTCACTGTCTGTCTGTGGTACTCCAGGGATATTCAGGGAATTTACCGTGCTGCTTGGTATAATAAAATAAAAATCGTTTCACACTTATAGAAATAAAATTTAAACAGGCAGAAGTCATATTGAAAGACTGTAAAAAATCTTTTTGGAGATTGTACATTTCAGTTCACTGTCAACTGAACTGATACATAATTATTATGTAAAGCCGATTTTAATTCTTGACATAACCTCAAAAATTAGTTTTACCATAAAACAGTGTTGCCAAGTTAGTGGTTTTCCCACTAAATTTTGTAAGATTTTGGTCCTTCAGTAACATTTTTAGTGGGAGAAATATTTTAGTAGGAAATTTAGTATATTTTTTCGTCTTTAGTGGATTTTTTTTAGTGTTTTCACCTAAATGTCATTTTTCCTATACGTAATTTGTATCAGAAGTATTAAAAGTACGACCACTCTAAGTATAAATTAGAATTTCATTGGCTATACTGATAATAATTTTATTAGTTTATGGCATTATATACGTTGGTTAAGGTACATTTACACCTTCGGTAAAAAATTTTTCACTTTGTATTTTCCGAAATACACGTACCTAATTAGTTGTCCACAATGAATTAGATTCTGTACAACCAATCAGGTTTGTATTTTTCTAAAAATGCAAAGTAAAGAAAATATTTTACTTTAGATGTAAATGCTCCATTACAATTATACCTAGGCCATAAACTAATAAAATTATTGTAGAAGGGTCACGACTTTTTCAAATGTCGTAAAACAATGACAGCATTGGTTGGTTTCCATTATCCCCACTCGCCATTTGTCATAATTCTCGTCAACTACCGCACCCTGCTCTAGTAAAAATTTAGTGACTTTATTGTTAAAATTAAAAGTTACTAAATTTTCACTACAGCAGGGTGCGGTAGTAGACGAGAATTATGACAAATGGCGAGTGGGGATAATGGAATCCAACACAATTGGGTGTAATTTTTTTTATTTATTAGGCTGCTTCCACAATAGCTAAATCGTATCGTCTTAAAGACAATTGTTTAGAACAAGACGATGCGCGCGCATCGTGTAATTCTAAAAAATCCTCTACAAGTCAATGCGATTTAGCTATTGTGGAAGTAGCCTTATAATACTGATAATAATCAAAGAAAAATTATATTTTTAAACTATCTAAAATATTTTCCTTCCATCATTTCTTTTTAAAGTAATAATTTTTTTGAATCAAAAAAAACAAAGAGTTAGAAATGAAAAATTAAATTGAAACACAAAAAATATCCGATGCACTCTCTATTTTTATATGTCTCTCTATATAGTATATGAATTGGATAAATTCTGATAAGAGTTTTTCTCATTAACTAAAGTGTATAATAAGTGTTACGTATTTTACGTACACCGACAAATACTTTAACGTAATAATACGCATAAATAGAATTTCAAAGAAAAGCAGATCTCGATTTCGTAGATGAATATATTTACCTCAAATATTTCCATATGCAAATTCTAAGTTTCTGATTGGCTCTCTAGTAAATATTCTTAGGGAAAATGCATTTTCATGCATTTTTGATCAAAGTAAGAAAAATACTTTCGTCAAATCACCCAAAAATCTATATATATATATATATACTGTTAAATTAACTTAAGATAAGGTTAGGTTAGGTATAAAAGGTAGCTAAAAAATAACCTTTCAACTATGACATAATTTTTAAAAATATTACACGATTTTCTCAAAAATTTCCTTTTATCAAGAACATTGAGAAAGTTTAGAATATATGAGATAAATAACAAACTTTTGCCCGTAGCGCTGCAAAAGCAAAAAGTGCGAGGAAATAATGAAGAGAAGAATATGGGCATCAATGACTTTTTGAAAAAAATGATTTCTTTGAAACAAAGAAATATTTTTCTTTAAATCACTTATTGAATCGAAGATGCAATTTGTTCGAATTAAAAATATTTTTCTTTGCTCTTACGAAATATATTTTTGATTTAAAGAAATTTGTGCATTAAAATTTATTTCTTTGATTCAAATAAAAAAATTTTGTAATATCAAAGAAATATTTCTTTGAGTAAACAAAAAAAAAAGTAAAGAAATAATTTTTTTAAACCAAAAAAATTTTTCTTTGTTTCTATATAACAATGCGCAAATTTCTTTGATTAAAAGAAATTTTTTTTTTTTGAAATAATGAAACCTTTTTTTTGATTGTATATAAAAAAGACATTTACACATAGGAATAATCAATTGCACTGAACGTCTCTCCATCAATTATTGGCTAAAAAGCTGCAACTTACATATTATGGCTTCCTCCTATAAGGATTACGAAACACCTCGCATTGATAATTAAAGTTATTCTAAGCCCATATAAAGTCTAGATGTACTTTTCTTTATTCCGCAACTAATGTGCCAATTTAACTTTTTTTTGCGAATTACTCGAATCAGAAATTAGAAAAAAAATAAAAAAATTCTTCTCAAAATATATGAAATTATATATTCAAAAATCTTATATGTAACGCTCCACGAGAAAAGGGACCTTAAAGGCACAAAATTTAAGGTTATGTTTAAGCTTTTTATTTGTATAGAAAAACCTTTTTTTTACATTAAAATAATTTTGAAATTTTAATTGTATTTTTTTTGAAACTATATTAAAGAATTTTTAAGCTTTATCTATATTAAAAATAATAATTTTCAATAATCAATATTATTTAAAATTATTTTCTTCATTTATGTAATATTTATGTATCGACCTTCAAAGACAAGGTAAAAACAAAAAAAAAATTATTATTTTCATTAACCGATATAAGGTCTTCTAAAATTATCATCAAGAATTTATAAAATTTCAGTATTTATAAAATTAACCTACATGATCGTTAATTATAAATTTTTTTTAAAAATTACAATAATTTTCAACCAATATTTGAATATTATTTCCATACTAAGGATTTTCGTTGTGTTGAAATTGAATAAATTACAATTCTTTACTAACTAAACGAAAAAGATAAAATGTTAAATAATAATTATTGAACAATGCTTAAAATTAATTTTTTTAAATTGTACAATTGTTTTCAAAATTAAGTAAAATTAATTTCAATTATATTTTTCTTTAGCGATGAAATCAATTTTCAGTTTGAGGTTATGTGACAGGGTTGAATTACTTTAATAAATATTTTGTTTTATTTTATGTTGTTAATATTTTAATTTTTAAGTTAATTAATTTAATTGAGTTTAGATAAATAAATATTTAAACTGAAAAAATAATTTATTTGATTCAAATAATCGGTTACTTGACTATTATCAAATAAATATTTGCATTAAATAATTATGAGCGAATTAAATGGTATTTGTTTCAAATACAGAAAATACTGCAAATACATGTAAATACTGTTTATTTAATTCAATTATCTGGTTTCGACAATTATTTGGCTCAAGTAAATATTTATCTGATAATAGTACCAATAATTTTGAAAGTAAATTTACCGATTATTTGAATCAAATAAATTATTTTTTCATTGTAGTTATTAGGTTATGCGAAATAAATGCTGTTTTTCCAGTTTGACGACGTTTGAAAATGTGACACTTCTATAATAATTTTATTAGTTTATGGCATATGGCGGTTACATTATACGCCATAAACTAATAAAATTATTATAGAAGTGTCACATTTTCAAATGTCGTCAAACCGGAAGGACAGCAATTATGTCCGTATTATGTTTTAAATAATAAAAAGAATTAATTCTTTCAGGACCAGTGTGGTTTTCAAGCAATATATTTTTGCTAACATAACTTGATTTTTAAAACTTAAACTATTTTTTATAATCTAGTAAACCAATTCCAAATTACAGACAAAGGAACAATTTCCTCAGTTTCCCTGAAAAATTTAGTTTAAAAATAAATCTCGGTCTCCTTAGAAAGTAGTCCTCAAAGGATTAATGATTTTTCCTTCATTTGCAAACAAAAAAAAAGCTGATTTGAATTTTTTTTTTTTTGCAAATGAAGGAAAAATTTGAAAAAAAACTCATTACCAGCATGAGGAGCAATATATACACGACGAGCAATGGAATCCGGCAGGTCTATCCGGATTGCGGTATATCGATTGGCGGTGGGTAAACAATCGTGTATAGATGACGAGAGAAATGTCGATCCGGAAGTCGGCCAGTATTAAAGGGAAGAGCATTTCCGGCAGTGGAAGACAGTGTGCACTTGAGAAAAGCTCGTCGATCGTTTAAACAACTCGACACTGACCATGATATCGACTAAACTATATACCACCTATTGCTATACTGTCGCTTGTGAGGCAAAGTCGATTAATTGAGACGCAAGAGTGTGCAGAGAGGAGAGTTCGGAAGAGAGAGAGAGAGAGAGATGTTGGTGTCACGGGGTCATGTCGCCGGAAAGTAGGTCAGGCCAGTTATTTGGAACAGGGAAGGGTCCACCGGGGAGGCAGCAGTGTGTTCTCGTTTTATTTGGTGAATCGAACGGAGGGTGTTCGAAGGGTGAGGAAAATGAAAAAAAAGACGATTTGATGAAAAAAATTTACAATTCTAGAAAGTTTAGTCTTCATGCAAAAAAACTGTTTAGCAACAAAACTGAATCCAAATCCTCTTTCTTGACTAATTAGACCCATTGGATTAACTTCTAATGGAGGAGGAAATACTAATCTTAGGGAATAGAAGCAATAAGGATGGAGTCTGGTGGAGAATCAGGTGCGTACCTCTCTTGCCATTACGTCATATCCCTGCAGGTAAGGGATCGTCCCACGAACGCTCATGCGAATGGGTCCAAGGATTCGTTCATGTCGGCGAGGATTGAACCTGTCGATTCAGGCATTTGTCATCAGCATCCAGAGATAAAAGTCCAGAGAAGCCGCTTTTTTCGAAAAAAGCGATATTAACGCGCCGGTACAAGGAACACAATCAGGACGACGACGACGTTTAGGGAACTTAATGTGTATCCCATCGTCGCGACCGCGTCCACCAGGTGCGCGAGCGATGGCCCGATCTAAGATTTTGCTAACACATATGGGGGCAGATTGTAACAGTGGCTTCCTCCCGGCGGTTACTGCGGCGACTCCTAGTTTTAGATCGATTCTCTCTCACTCGGTGTTGGTAGAGAGAGAGTTGAGAGACACCCTTATAGCGCGCACGGCCTCACCCTCTATATATGTATATATATGTCCCACCCTCTGTGTGCGACTCTTTCTCACCGACGAGCGACGACAGCCGCGCCCCTCCGCTGCATTTTCCCACTTTCCCAAACCCTCCCCTTCCTTTCCTTCTTCTTCTCTCATCTAGAAACAAAAAACCCGTGCCTTCTAGCCCCCTACTACCCCTTTTTATAGCCGCTGACTCTCCTCTCAACTCTGATCGTCAAGCACTCCCGCTAGTAATTCTACCGACCACTCGACTCCTATAGAGAGAAAACCTCCCCCCCACACCCCTCTTTCATCCTTACCCCAGAAGTCCACGAAAGACTGCTATATTCTTGTGCGAAACGAGACTCCATGCTAGATCAAGTTGAGAAGCCATTTTGATGCGCAGTGGGTGGTATTTGATGCGGGGGATGTATGTTGGCAGATTTCCAAAATGTTCGGCTCTTGAAAAAAAAGTAATACCGTTTTTTTTGGCAATTATATTAGGAGTTTGTAGTTTAATTATGAGAATTTATATTTGTTGAAATTTACTGCCGGCAAGGTAGGTATTATTTATTCCAATAAAGGGCGGATGAGTTTACCAAGGTAGCAAATATTAATAAATATTTTAGTGAACTTGGGCTCAAACGACACTTGAGGTCTCTGAGGGTACTTCAGTTATCAACAAAGTAGAAATATTAGGTCGGCAAAATAGATATTTATTCGGAGATATATTTCATGGGTGTTGGTATAATAAAACTGAAATTAATTTCTTAAGTAAAATGATCATGTGTGTAATTGAATGCTAGTTGGTCTAACTTTGGAATTCGTTCGAACTAATTTCTTCGATTTTGATGAGGAGGTCTTGCTCTTCTGGCTTTCGGATCATCTCTTAAGGCCAGGTCCAAGTCGTGTCAGCTGTTCCTTTGAAGTTTCAATGGAACAGCTGACACGACTTGGACCTGGCGTCTAATTTGTCGATCTCTTCTTTGTTTCAGATCATCTCAGTTACTGTCCGTGAAACATCGACTCGTCTCCAGATTCATGTCTGGTGGATTGGTAGCTGCGTGCTTAACTTTGGCCGTGTGAACATCGGTGGGAATAATCCCAATATTGCCCTCTGCGTGTCGTAAAAGACGACTAATAAGGAAAAAGCAGCGGTCATGCTCGTGGATTGGATAGAATCCTCAGACTGATACTCGCACCTGAGTCTAATTGGACTTAGACTTTGGGGCAGTGGTTAAAAGCTCACATCGCTTAGAGCAAGACACTGGAGAGGAAGCTAATTCAAAAATGATTTCTTCAAAATTGTCGACGTGTGAATTGCGGCATAACAACTCGGGCAGGAACCTGCTTAGTTCCTAGGAATTGGACAGGTCCCGCCCTAAATTGAGGGTCCGTGGTGTCCTACAGGTACAACGGACGCCATCTAACCTCTTTTTCGATAACGATGTTCTACATTGTAACGCAATTCCCGTTGTTAAAGGCGACTAATAAGAATGAGTGAGCAGTCAGGCTAGAGGGTAAAGGCCAAAACAGAACAGCTTCGTGAACGAGTTGCATGCGTTAGAAAAGGACAGAGATACGTTTGTCTCCTTTTCTATCTCACGAACCACGTTCGCGAAACTGTTCTACGTTTGCCTTTAAATAGAATCCTCAAACTGTCACTCGTACCTCTGAGTCTAATGCTCAGAAAGCTTTCCTTTCTTAAGTGAGGAAAGAGTCCTGCTTGGTCATTTGGCGTTGGACTCGTGGTAGCAGTGGTTAAAAGCTCACATCGCTTGGAGCAAGACAATGGAGAAGAAACTGATCTAAAAGTGATTAGACTTCTGAAACTGTTGACGTGTGAATTGCGGTATAACAACTCGAGCAAGAATCTACATAGTTCCTAGGGACTGGCAAAATCCTGCCCTAAGTCAAGGATCAGTAGTGTTCTATCTAAACCTACGAAAAACGATCGCTTTTAATTAAAGTGAGAGTCAGTGGTGTATTACGATGATTGTTGAACGAATGTTTGAACGACGATATACAGTGAGAGTCATGAATCAATTTGCGAATTACTGGAAAAGATATAAGTTTAACGAGGACTATCCAGTTCGATGTACTGACTGTTCTTACATTTTCCTTAGGGTACAGTCACAACTCAGCTACTTAAGTAGGGTCATTATGGTAACGTATAAGAGTGAAAGAAATAAAAAACATTCTTTATTTCTCTTACTCTTATACGTTGCTATGACAACTCCAGTTAAGTAGCTGAGCTGTGTTTGTACCCTTAATCTCGGTGGATTGGTTATCGTTTGTCCCCACTTGCCATTTGTCATAATGCTCGTCAACTACCGCACCCTGCTCTGGTAAAAATTTAGTAACTTTTAATTGGGGACAATTGGGAACGGTGGTCTAGTAACAATCTAGTAATTTTGACCCATTCTCTCCCTCCATTTTGTTTTTTCTACTCTTTCTAACCTATTAATTGAAGAGAGACAAAGAAAGAAAATGGAGGGAGAGAATGGGTCCCCACCAGATGGCGTATTGCAGTTTAGCCGATCCCAATAAAAACCAACATTTGTGAGACTTTCAACTGGATAAACACAATTTTAATTAGACGATATATATATATTTTTGTCCGGGAAGGACAGCATAAATTCAATTAAATGTATCTTAATTTTTTGATTGTTCTCCTTGGAATAAAATAATTTTATAAATTTAAATGGAGCTAGTTTACCTATTGCCCCAATTAGCGGTGTCACATTTCAGAGATTAGTGTGTGTATACTTATAAGTAGGGGAAGTCAATGAAATTTAGTAAATTTAGTAAATCTCATATTAGAGAATTTGACGCTAATTATTCGTGAAATTCCCAATTTTGCCCTTTTTGATTTTAAAAAAACAACTGTAAATGAAAGGATAAAAAAAAATCTGAACACACAAGATTTTTGCCGTAAATTTTTCGTAATCAAATCCCATAATTATTTTCTCAAAATATTTAAAAATGACACTAAACTTCACAATATTCTATCAGAATTTTCTAAAATTTTATATTCTTTCATCATCAAAATCATTTTAATAATAATTAGTTAGTCGAAAACGACTTAATTAAACGAAGCTGAATTACGCAACGTTTATATGAACGATTTCTAAAGAAATAATTTTTTAAAATGAAAAATTCTATAATTTTTTGCCTAAAAAAATATTTTTTTACACCTCATTAAACAGTTCATTAAAACTAGAAAATAATATCTTAATATAATTAAATTCAAAATTTTCATTTAATTCAGATATCAAAATAATTCAATTTTCTCCCATTTCCAGTGGGTATAATGTCATCCAGCATGCGTCCATCTTGAATTTTCCCCCTCCCAACTTGAATAACCTAATTGAAAAATTCAAAATGCTGCTTACTTCACCTTTGTCAAAAAGGTTAGTTTCTTTCTGCACACATGTTGCATACTTTTTTTTAGAGAAAGTAGAATTATAATTTTTTGAAAAGAATAAATATAAACGTATTTGAGTTTCATATTTAATTTTTATAAAAAAATAATGTCTTGTAGATGAGAAAAAGAAATTAACTAATTTATATCGAGTCTATAAATAATTAATATTTGTAAAAAAATGGTGTACATCAATGGAGAAACGAAGATTTCAATTAAATGCAGAGTGTATTTTCAAGGTAAGGTTAAGTTTTTTCTTATAAATGATTTGTACTGAATTAATAATCAAAAAATCGGGAGTTAAAATTAATTTTATTTTTCTTTTGATTAATATTTGATTTTTCGGATTAAGTTTGTCTTAAATTATTTTTATGGTCAAAGCAGAATGAAGTTGGATACGAGAATAGGGCGTGAGATAGAAAAGGAGAGAGATAGTCTGTCTTTTTCTATCGTTACTAATACTTTTTTTTTTTTTTTTATTGAAATAGATGCTTTTTGGAAGACCTTGGATATTTTTACTCGGAAGATGGAAAACTGCTTCGTACATCATTTTCAGCGATTAAAAGGTATAAAAATTATTAGTTTTCTTATTAAAAAGTATTTGAGGAGGTTTGACAAAAACAGTTAACAAAACGTTGTAATGTAAAAATAATGGAAAAAGGAGACTTTTTATGTCTAATTTCTATCCTTCCAAAAAAAATCGCAAAATAATTCAACTTTAATAAAAATAATTGAAATTTAATTTTTAAGGACGTTTATCCACGAAAATGCAGAACTACATGAAAAAAGAATTAATTGACATTGAAATAATTAAAATAATATTATTAATTGTACTTTCAGAAAGATTCAATTTTCAAGAAAAAAATTTAAAATCTACAATATTTGTTTCTACAATTTGCATAGAAAAAAAAAATTATATTTATTTCTTTATATAACAGAAAATTTTTATTTTGTGCAAATTGTGTAAAAAAGTAAAATTTTGTAGGTTTTAAATTTTTTTCTTAAAATTTATTATTTTATCTTTTAGAAAGTATAATTGATAGTACTATTTCAATTATTTAAACTTTAATTAGTTACTTTTTTTGGGGGGGGGGGTTTGCATTTTTGTCGACAAACTTCCTTAAAAAGTATCTTTTCAAAAATATTTAAATTTAATTTTTTTACTTCCAGATTGCAAATACAACATTGCGCCGAAAATCCAGTTTACAATGTTCACTTTAAATAATTTTAATTTGTAATTAAACAACTATAAATGTAAATATTTTGTCTTTAAATAAATAATAAAACGGCTTTTAGGTCATAATCTTTTAAAACAAAAATTGTTTTTGGTAAATAAATGGAAATAAAATAAAAATTAAATAAGCAAAAATCATCGGTTAGATGCAGAAACGTGCCACTTCAGAGTAGTCTTGAAAAACGAGTCATTTCAAAAAACATTTGAGAAACCTGCCATTCCAGCTGAGATTTGGAAAACATGCCAATTCAGAATTGACGTTCGTTTTTTTTTCTTTAGGTTGGCAGTTTTGAATGGTTATTAATTTTTACAAAAGATTTTTTTATTACTACACTGAAAAAATTTTGGTGCAGCAGCTGCCCCAAACGGAAAATTTCTATATTCAATTAACTTCATACTTAATATTTGCCATGCGTTTTTATATGAGTGAAGTTAACTGAATATAGAAATTTTTCGTTTGGGGCAGCTGCTGATCCAAAAGTTTTTCAGTGTATTTTTAATAATTATTTTATTTATTTCCTTGTTTTATTTATTTTAATTGTATTATAATTAATTAACTTTTTTCTATTATAATTATTCTTTATTAATTTTATTAGTTATTACTTTTTTTTTTTGAAAATATAATATTTTTAAACATTTTGAATTACGGATTATTTATTATTTTGTAAACACTTCTTAGGACATTTTTTAATTTTATTGAGAGTGTTGGTTATACTTTTAAATTTGTTTAATAAATATGCCATGCCACTAAACCTTTAAAAGTTAATTTCTTGAGATTCTTGAGATAAATTTCTTTGTATATTTTTGTGATTTTAGAAATTGTTAATCAAATAAGGAATAATTAACAAATTTATTTAATAAATTCATTAAAATACTCTTTTTTCAAACAATAATAACAAACATGTAAAATACAACATGAAAAGTCATTTTCGTACAAGTTTATAACCTATAATTTTTCTGGCATATTATTGTTAACTGCCTTCTGTATAAAACAGTCAACTGAAATTTATTACATGAAATCATAAATTCCTACATGAAATCATACACCAAATCGTGTCCGAATTTCATATATGATTTTACATGGAATTCTATGTGGATTCCTATGTCGACCTAGGATTTCATAACGGTTTTTATAAAGGAACCTATATGGAATCATATATAGGATCCCATGTGAGGATTTTCAATAGGGATAAAAAATAGATAAAATTTAATTCATCACGTCCACACAGCATCGAAACTTTACTGAACATTTATTAAGAGTTTAAGTGCAAACTACGGAATATTTAGTTGCAATGTTTAATAAAGGTTGAATAAATATTAAAATGTCCGTCATGATTAAATATTTAAAGCGAAATTTGACTGAACATGTAAATTAAATGTTCGGCGTAAAAATTGACTGAATATTTAGCACAGTTAAATTCTACATCGTAAAACTCTACACACAGACAATAAAATATTTATCCTTATTATTTAACGTATTTATTTGCCTAATTAACAGCAGTTGAATTTAATGGCGTAGAGCTACTAATTTAATTTAAAAAATGATATTTTTTTGTGTGTAGAGTGTTACGGTGTAGGATTTAACTGTGATGAATTAAATTAAATTTTATTTAAAATTTGTAGAGTTTAATTACGGAGAATCGCTACTGCTTCAGAAAAAGAAAAACACACATTTCAACCATTAACAAATATAAATTTTTAATGTGTTTTTTTTGTACATTCCAAAACGCTACATTGATGATGAACAGCGCTAAAGAAACGTGACATCAACGCTATTATTTTTTAACTATGATGACTCGTTTTACTTTGTAGCGCATATTTATAAAATTAAATACAACTTATACACTTTCCATTTTTTTTTCTAACGACATTACTTGAACAATTACTTGTTCATTGATACAAGAGATACATAATTGGTAATGTATGATCGGTATTTGAGATTTTCATTTTAATAAACCGACGTCGACGGCAGATAAAACAAAACTATATAATAAAATGTTTAAAGACTACAATTTACAATATACAACAAATAGTTTCCACATCAACTGCGCACTTATATATCATATATATATAATATGTAATACGAAAAATATATATTAACAAACATAGATGGAGTATTTGCTGCTTCTATTAAGAATAGAGACGACAATTTGAAATACAAAAATCTATTTCATCTCTATATATAACATAAATGCAGCAAATTATTGTTGATTTTGTCGTAAGAAAAAATCTGATGGTTTTTTTTTTTTTTTCTATTGAACATTGGCTGCCCGACCCCAATTAAAACCACCAGGCCTATCTTCGGGAAGCGGAGTGAAATCTGGATCATCATTGTGCGCATCGAACAGAGTCTTTCTGCAAGATTTACAAGCACAATTTATTTTTTATAAAATTTTACATAAGTCTCATTTTTACATATTTTATAACTGCGTGAAAAAGAAAATTCATCCAAACAAAAAAATACGTTTTGTCTAAAATGCTTTTTGAAAAACACGAAGCTGAAGTACGCAACGTTTATGATAAACGATTTTTAAAGAAATAATTTTTTAAAATGAAAAATTCTATAATTTACCAAAAAAAATATTTTTTTATTATTTGCTACAATTGCTACTACAAGAAATATTTTTTAGTCGAAAAATAATAGAATTTTTCATTTTAAAAAATTATTTCTTTAAAAATCGTTTATCATAAACGTTGCATACTTCAGCTTCGTTGAAAAACAACAGAAAAAAAAATTTATTTTCAGCTCCGACAATGTTTGCCTGATACAAAATGAATTCGGTGAATTAAAAAATTGATTGCATAAATTATATATTTCTGATAATAATTTAAAGTATAAACTTACAGTATTTGTGGAGTCTTAAGAATGCGGAATCCTCCTCGTAGTCGAGGAAATACGTCCTCGGTAAAATAATATATATGTCCTACTGCTATACCAATAAGATCGACCCAAATGGCATTACCTAGTAAAACTGAGAATCCCAAAAGCACCCAAGGCAAATAGGGAGCCTGGAAAAAAGAAAAAGGAATAAAAAATTTCCATCTAATTTATTTAATTCTTAACTGGCACAATTCGAATATAAATAGAACACAACGGGTCTGCTGGACCCATGGTACCAGTTAAGGGTTAAATAAAAATTTCAAAATAAAATAACAATAATAATAAAAATTAAATAACAGACTAAATTCATTTCAAATCAGGGAGGCTGAAACGTTGTTAATCTAAAATTTAGGGGGGCGAACTTTAAATTGTTATAACTTTTAAAGTAATTTAGTTGTGTCGTTTTTTCTTTTTGCATTTGAAAGAGCTTTCATTTGTCTTTCAAAATCCGTTGGAAGAATTAAAAAAAATGGCCGCCATTTTGTTATTTTTGAACATTTTTTAATTTTTCCAACGGAAAATTTGAAAGAAAAATAAAAGCTCTTCCAAATGAAAAAAGAAAAAATTAGACAAGCAAATTACTTTAAAAGTTATAACACTTTAAACTTTTTTATTCTTCTAAATTTTAGATAAACGACGTTTCAGCCTACCTGATTTGAAATGAATTTGGTCAACATAATAAAAAAATAAAATTCAATAAAAAATTTACACTCGACAAAATTGTTACCTGAAAATTGAGAATTCCAAAAAAGTTCATTCGCACAAATGGCGTTCGTCTTGACCAGACGTACACTAACATTATCGTAAACGCATGTCCCAAAAATAATAAATTAACAAAAAATGCCAAGAACTAGATTTTTTTTTAGGAAAATTATTTTTTTTATATATATATATGAAAACAAAAATATTTTAATGATTTTAATTTGATACTATTTGGATCTATTTTTTGTAGCGTCAAAAAACAATGATTTTTCATTATTTTTTACTATTCTATTATTTGTATATTTTTCAATTAAAATTCTTTAAAAAGTCAATCGGGGTTATTTTGGTACATCAGGGGCTATTATGGTACGTAAGCTAGTTTTTAATTTGTAAAATATTCATTTCGAAATGTTAAAAATTTCCCAGTGTGACATTTTTTTTTTTTTACAAAATAACTGTAATGTTATTCAAAAAAATTAAATTCCAGAGTTCTGAATATTCTCCACACAGCAATGAATGCGCGGCAAAAAAAATAATCACTACTTCTTTTTTTGACAGTAATCAGAATTTCGTTTCATATTAGTATAGACAATAGAGTATTCAGAGATACGAATATAGCAATAAATACTTTGCTCGAAGTCATGACTGCTTTTCTCACAGCTCTGAGTACTGTGTAGAATTATTTTTTAGGATTTAAAAAACAAGGGAACGTTTAACGTCAATTAAAAAGATTTTTTTGGTAGCATCAGTTGGGGTAAATAGAAACAAGGGGTAAATCGAAACAGTAGTTATTTCAGTTAAATAAAAAATTTTAAAAATAAATGCGGCCTTAAATCTTGTTGGGGGTGATCTAAGGTTCAAGGTTTAAGGCCGTATTTATTTAAAAAAAATTTTTTATTTAACTGAAATAACTACTGTTTTGATTTACCCCTTGTTTCTATTTACCCCAACTGACCCTAATGGTATAAAATTACACTATGTGTCTAATATTAGAAAGCATTTCATGAAATAACTAAGTACTATTCCGCTAACGAAATATATTAAATAATTTATGTATATCAATAAATGATAATTAGGCTCGAAAGCATTAAGGCCAGGTCCAAGTGTAGCAGCGCCATCTACATTGATACTAAAATTTTGGAAAATTTTCAACAGCCTTTTCTTGAAAACAAGATGGTAAAATGCTTTTTCCTTTATGGATAATTGATTATTGGCAAGATATACACCAGCTAAAACTTTTTTTGAGTTAAAATAATAAAAAAAATTTCATGTCAATAAATTAAATATGAGCACTTTTTTCACAAAAACTGTAACAGTACTTTCTCAGAAATTACAATCAAAAATGCAATTTCCATTTGGAAAATTAATAAACGCTAAAAAATACACGACCTAAGATTTACCAATCACGAAAATAACAAAAAAAAGTATTTTAACATAACATATTTTACTCATTATGTCAGCCGTTTGGCAGGTTATATATGTCACCAGACGTTTCGCAGTTTTGCCGAAAGGAGGAGATTGGCGCTGTTGCTAACCACCTGAAATACATAATCTACCAAAGGGCTGTCACAATCAGTAAAGCAGTATCAATATGTTAAATATTTAATAAAATTTTTTTTTCTTATTTTCGTGATTGGTAAATCTTAGGTCGTGTATTTTTTAGCGTTTATTAATTTTCCAAATGGAAATTGCATTTTTGATTGTAATTTCTGAGAAAGTACTGTTACAGTTTTTGTGAAAAAAGTGCGCTCATATTTAATTTATTGACATGAAATTTTTTTTATTATTTTAACTCAAAAAAAGTTTTAGCTGGTTTATATCTTGCCAATAATCAATTATCCATAAAGGAAAAAGCATTTTACCATCTTGTTTTCAAGAAAAGGCTGTTGAAAATTTTCCAAAATTTTAGTTTCAATGTAGATGGCGCTGCCTCACTTGGACCTGGCCTTAATAGCTGAAAACAAAAAGTTTAGAGTTCAAAAATCAAATTTTGTAAAAATCCACTAAATTTCAAATTAATTTTTAGTTCAAAACCAATGGAAGTTCAAAACATTAAAATTGAAATAAAATTTTGCTTTTCAAAAGGATACAATCATACACACGCCTCCAAAAAGGAACATCATCACAAAATCAGCCGTCCTTCCTCGGAAAGAACCTTCTTCCAACATTCGACAATATTTGTACGTAAATATCATATTGAAGACAAAATTGAATCCAATAGTTCCAAAAAATAGGAATGTCGTTATTAACCGCCATAGCTAAAACAAAAAGGCCAATAATTATACAAGAAAAATCATTCAATACAAACGGAGAAAAATGGAAAAACGGAGGCGCATGATTTTCCCCAAAAATTAAAAAAGGTCGAAAATTTAATTGATCGAATTACATTAAGTCGATATTTTATTTGAACTAAATTCTAAATGATCGATATTTAAAGTGGTCAACTTTTTATTTGGTCGATATTTTATTTATTGGAAATTCTAAATGATCGATATTTAAAGTGGCCGATATTTTATTTAGTCAATATTTTATTTTATCGAAATTCTAAATGATAGACATTTATGAAGATCGACATTTTATTCAGTCGATTTTTTATTCGGTCGAAATTCTATAAATAACCGACATTTACACGGAGAGAAAAATCTGCCTTTTATAGTATAGAAAGGTTTACATTTAATGCACAGAAATTTTCTATGCTATATAGACATGAAATTTGAGTAATTATAGTACAATCGTATGTCTTTTTAGCATGAAACTTGTCTATGCTAATAAAGTTTGTCATATAGCCTCTTATTACATACTTATTATACTTTTAATCCAACGGCGCCATGCGAAGATCGCACATAACATCATCCTACTATGTTTGCATAAGTTCTATGCTTTTTCGGGGATAGACTCTTGCAACTGGCGATTAGGGCAGTTCCAATTCAGTAAAGGTGGGCGTGGCCTAATCGCCAGTTGCAAGAGTCTATCCCCGAAAAAGCATAGAACTTATGCAAACATAGTAGGATGATGTTATGTGCGATCTTCGCATGGCGTTGTTGCTATTAAACTACATGTTTTGTACTATAGAAGCATATATACTATGCTTTTTTAGTACGGACAAATACTATCCTAAAAATTCTCAAATCTTTGCTCTATTAGTATGAAAAGTTTAAAGAAAAATAGCAGCAATCTATTTCATACTATAAAAGGCAGATTTTTCTCTCCGTGTATGATGGTCGATATTTTATTTGATCAAAAATCTAAATGGTCGATATTTAAAGTGGTCGAAATTTTATTAGTTAGATATTTTGTTTGATAAATATTCTAAATGAACGACATTTAAAGTGGTCGATATTTTATTTGTTCGATATTCTAAAATGATAGAAATTTAGAAGCATCGAATTTTATATATCCATTGAAATTTAATTTGGCCGATATTTTAAAAGCTCGACACTTTTTTTTAGCTATACGAGTCTCGGTATGTAGTTCTCGCTATGTAGTTTCTCGGTAAAGTACATTGAAATTTTGCGGGAAATTTGAAATTTTATTGATATAAATAATAATAACAACATAGAGAGGAAACTCGTATAGCTAAAAAAAAATGTCGAGCTTTTAAAATATCGACCAAATTAAATTTCGATGAATATAAAATTCAATGCTTCTAAATTTTTATCATTTTAGAATATCGACCACTTTAAATGTCGATCATTTAGAATTTCGACCAAATAAAATATCGTCTAAATAAAATGTCGACCACTTTAAATATCGAGCATTTAGATTTTCAATCAAATAAAATATCGACTACTCTCTAAATCTAAATTACTAAAAATGTTTACTAATTTGAATTAGTGACTCACTTTTTGCTTCTGAATTAGTAAAATTTTACTAATTATTATTAACTTTTACTAACAATTAGTAAAATTTAACTAATTCAGAAGCAAAAAGTGAGTCATTAATTCAAATTAGTAAACATTTATACTAATTCAGATTTAGAGAGTAAATAAAATGTCGACTTTCATAACTGTCGTTCTTTTAGAATTTCAACCAAATAAAATATCGACTTAAAGTAATTCGATCAATTAAAATTTCGAACTTTTTAATTTTTGGGAAAAATCATGCACCTCGAAAAACGAATAAAGTAACTTTTACTACTTTTAAAAGTAAAACTAAAACTGTCCGAAGTTTCTGCGCATTTCTGGCAATTTTTATTTCAGAAATAGTAAAATTTACTCCTGAAATTGTAAAAATTATTCCGGAAATAGTAAATTTTACCTCTATTTCTGAAGTAAAAATTGCCAAAAATGCGCCAGACACTGCGAACATTTTCGATTTTACTTTTAAATTAGTATAAAAGTTACTTTATTCATTTTTCCATTTTTCTCCGTGGTACAAATTTTATTATAAATTTTAAAATATTTTACATACCTGATATCGCTTGATTATTAAAATTGGATTGAAATAAAGTTGGAATGGAGACACTAGGTCCAATTGCTAGAAAAATAAATATTTATTAATAAAGAAACAAAATTTCATGTTTTTCTATTTAAATATTCGAAATTTTAAACGAATTTTATCGCGCAAAAAAGAAATAATTATTTTAATTTCACTTTTTAAATTAGTAATGAAGAATCTTTTCTTATAGCAAAGACGTAGGTACATCTATTGGGTATTAAAATCGTTATCTATGAATTATACATAGGAAACCATTTTTCTTATATTACAATTACAATATTTATTATCAAATAAGAAAATGAAAAATTATTTTTAAAAAATGGAAAATTTTTAAATTTTTGACTACATTTGCGGAAACGAAAATTCACGTTATTTAAAAACAAAAAAAATACCTCGGTGATAAAATTTTGAAAATTAAAATAGCAATAAATTGCTTTAGACGAATTAGGGAGAAATCTTTTTTTTAATTCTTGAAAAAAAAGACTTTTTGTATTTATTAAAAATTCAAGAAAGAGAATTTTTTGCCTCTAAAATTTTATATAGCAATATTAATAGGCATTTTATTTATCAGGAACTGTTACGATAACCATTATCATTACTTTACTTCCGTATAACTAATTTTTTTTTCCTTCATTTTTTTCTATAAAAATAATTTCTAACATATTTTTTTTAAATATTTTAATCATTTAACAATTTAGCTTATAAAAATTTTATCTTATTCTAAAATTTTAATTTAAATTTTACATAAAATTCATTTATACAAATAATTGGCAGAAAAATTTGTACGCAAAATTTAAAAATTGACCAATCAGAAGTTATCAATGAAATTATGATTGATTAATTTTAAATTTTGCGCCCAAATTTTTATACCAGATATTTATTTGGACAAATCGAAAGTTCTGTATAATCAAAAATTCCATGTTTTTGAGAATTCTATAAAATATAAGGGACGCATGATTATGTTCTAAAAATCATTAGTCATAATTTACATTTTATCGAATTTTATTTGTTCTAATTAGTTTTTAGCCGAATTTTTATTTGTTCGAAATAGCATTTTGTATAATTTACATCAAAACGATTTTCTATATTACAGAATTTTTATATAACCGAAAATTCACTTCACAGAATTTTTATTTCTTCGAATTTTTATTTGTCAGAATTTTTATTTGCTCGAATTTTCATTTAACATAATAGGCATTTTAAACAATTTTTATTGGGTAGAATTTCATTGAATAGAATTTTCATTCAGATGAATTTTCATTTGTTCAAATTATTATTTGATATAATTTCCATATAATCGATTTTTCATACTATAGAATTTTTACGTAACCGACAAATCATTTAATAGAATTTCTTATTGATAGAATTTTCATTTGTCCGAATTTTCAAATGGCCGAACAAACAATCGACATTAATATTTCGGCGCGATTTTTAAAATCAACCAATCACAATTTTATGGATAATTTTTGATTGGTTGATTTTAAAAATCGCGCCGAAATCTTAATGTCGATTGTTTTTTCGGCCATTTGAAAATTCGGACAAATGAAAATTCTATCAATTAGAAATTCTATTAAATGATTTGTCGGTTAAGTAAAAATTCTGTAATATGAAAAATCGATTATATGGAAATTATATCAAATAATAATTTGAACAAATGAAAATTCATCTGAATGAAAATTTTATTCAATGAAATTCTACCCAAAAAAATTGTTTAAAATGCCTATTATGTTAAATGAAAATTCGAGCAAATAAAAATTCTGACAAATAAAAATTCGAAGAAATAAAAATTCTGTGAGGTGAATGTTCGGTTATATAAAAATTTTGCAATATAGAAAATTGGATTAATGAAAATTATGCAAAATACTAATTCGAACAAATAAAAATTCGGCTAAAAACTAATTAGGACAAATAAAATTCGATAAAATGTAAATTATGACTAATGATTTTTAGAACATAATCATGCGTCCCAAATATAAATATTCGAATAAATGAAAATTCGACTAAAAAAAAAAAAAATTCATTCTAATATTCATTTTGTAAAATAAAAATTCTTTTTAAATTACTCTGTCGAATTTAAATTTGAACAAATCATAATTCTGCGTCTCAAATACCTATATGGATTTATTCCATGTGGAATTTTAATTACCAAAAAAAATTTTTTTTACTAGAATATTTTTTACGTATTCTTTATAAGAAATAAGAAAATACGTATTTTTTTAATTTTTAATTTTGATAAAATTTATGGAAATTATGATTTTTTTAAATATAACATCGTTCAATGGCCGAATATTTTTGAAATGAGTTTTTTTTCTGTCATTATTAACGGAAAAAAAATATATACAAAATTTTGTTCAATTTTTCTTTAATATTTTAAATATATAGTAAAAAAATAACGTAACTACAATGGAAGTATCTAAAGAATAAAAATTAAGTCCAAAATGTGACTGAAGTGATTTTTGAATTTTTTTTTAGTTTTGTAAAGTCACATTTTAGACTTAATTTTTATTCTTTAGATACTTCCATTGTAGTTACGTTATTTTTTTTACTATATATTTAAAATATTAAAGAAAAATTAAAACAAAATTTTGTATATAATATTTTTTTTTCCTTTAGTAATGATAGAAAAAAACTCATTTCAAAAATATTCGGCCATTAAATGATGTTATATTTAAAAAAAAATCATAATTTCCATAATTTTTATTAAAATAAAAAATAAAAAAATAGGAATTTCCTTCTTTTTTACAAAAATTACGAAAAAAAATACCATAGTGATTTTTTTAACCGTTATTATGACAGAGAAAAACATTTAAAATGTATTCGGCCTTTTACGACGTTAAATTTAAAAAAAATTTAATTTCCATAATTTTTATCAAATAAAAAAATACGTATTTTCTAATTTTTCATAAAAATTTCAAAAAAAAAAATATTAATTTATTTAAAGAAAATAATTGCCGAAAATTCAAAAAAAAATATGAAGAATAAAAAAAAATTTAATTTTTGAGCATATTTTATAAGATTGATAAGAGAAACTATAGTTGATCAAGTAGGAAGATAAAAAAATGATGTTTGGATACTAAATACGATGACGTTTCTGTCACTTGGCTTGCTCCGATTCGTTGATTCGTAAACAAACCATGAGCGATAAGTAAAATTTAATTTTACAACATATAGAGACATGACAGTGAAGAAGAAGAAGAAAATTAATGAAATTTAAATAAAAATTTAAAAACCCAAGTAAATTGCAAATAAATGAAGAAAAATCAATAATTAAAACGAGAAAAAAGAAAAAAAAAAAAAAAAAAAAACACTTACAACTGCGAGAGTAGTGATGACACATGCAGTCGTGTAAGCCCTTGTGACGACAGGCATATGCAGATATTCCTGCCGTAAACTTTGATAAGCCATTTCATGCGAGAATTGAAAAGATGAACTTGTCTCTTTTTTATAATTCTCATTAATATTGTTGCCTATATTTATTTATTTATTTATTTTTATTTATTATTATTTTTTTTTTCGAACTACATTGCCACTCGTCTGCTTTTCGACGCAAGTCACAAAAGTATTATCTTAAACTGTCTCATGAACCACATCACGAAATTTTTTTCTTTTACTAACTCACAAACTTTAATACACTCTTTATTTAACTTTTATATCGTCTATAATTAATTCCTTAACGTTACTTGTGTGATCTTCCAAAAAAAAAGAAAATTGAATTTCACTTGGCTCCAACCTTAAATTATATTCATAGAAAATTACACACACGTAAGATACGACATTTGCTGATAATCGATTCAATAAGTTGTGCCAACGTTCAATGGAGAAAATTCAAAGCAAACTAATAACGCGCGAAATTTGAAAATTACAAAAAGTACTCAGTATATTTTTTACATTCTCATTGTAAGGATTTTTGCAAATTTTTATTTTTGTAAAAAAAAAAACTTTTTTTTTAACCACATCGTATCCTATTTTATTACAACCCAAATAATGCAATAAAAAAAAAATATTGTTTGATTTAAAGAAATTTTTCTTTACTCTCTAAATCTGAATTAGTAAAAATGTTTACTAATTTGAATTAGTGACTCACTTTTTGCTTCTGAATTACTAAAATTTTACTAATTGTTAGTAAAATTTACTAATAATTAGTAAAATTTTACTAATTCAGAAGCAAAAAGTGAGTCACTAATTCAAATTAGTAAACTTTTTTACTAATTCAGATTTAGAGAAATAAAAATTTACTAACAATTAGTAAAATTTTACTAATTCAGAAGCAAAAAGTGAGTCACTAATTCAAATTAGTAAACATTTTTACTAATTCAGATTTAGAGAGTAGATTTAATAATATCATTCTAAGAAAAAATTTCTTTAATTCAAAATACTTCAAAAACCTTTTTTTTTTGTAAAAGAAAACTTTTTTTATTTCAATTAATTTGATCTTTGACTCAACAAGTGAAAAAAAAAAAACGATTTCTTTGTTTTAAAGAAATTTTTTTTATATGATAATTTTAACTCATATACTTGTCATTATATGGGGTCAAATTGACCCCCATAGAAAATTGCGAGGTATAATTAAAATAAGATGCACGCTATTAATTTAATGCCATATTGGATTATTATTATTATTTATTATTATTATTATTAATATTATTATTTTTGTTATTATTTTATTTCTTTATTTCAATTCAAATTTAGCATTAGGGTAAATGCACTAATTACGGCGTGATTCGAGTCAAAACACCTTTAAAATAGAAAATTCGATATTTCTATTGTATAAAGTCAATTTAAGACTTATTATAAACTAAAAGGTTATGTTATTTTGGATATTAAAAAAAATTTTAATTTTATAAAAATCGATTATTTAAACAAATATGATAAATTAAAACTAATAGGGTCAGTTAGGGTAAATGGGGTCAAGGGGTAAATGGGGACAAGAGGTTTTGGAGCTTAATTTACAGTTTTAAAATTAAGTTCAACGTTAATATTTTAACCTCAAATCACTTGCAAGAGGTTCTGAGTATTGCCAAGATTTTATCTTGACAATTGTCAGCAAGATAAAAAAAAGTTATCGCTCAATGCATAAAAACTTGAAAATCAAAGTCAAACTGTTTCAGTATTTTGTCTCGCATTTGAAAAAAAACAGACTTAAAAATCATACCAAATTTTTATCTTATTCCTTATGACTCCCATAACAGAAATTCACTTGAATTTTTGATTTTTGTCAATTTGGTTAATAATGACAAGCTGTTCCCATTTACCCTGAGTATTCAAATTTTTGGGGTAAATGGGGACAGCTTGTCATTATTAACAAAATTTGACAAAAATCAAAAATTCAAGTGAATTTCTGTTATGGGAGTCATAAGGAATAAGAAAAAAATTTGGTATGATTTTTAAGTCGTGTTTTTTTTTCAAATGCGAGACAAAATACTGAAATGAAAAAAAAAAATAAAAAAATTGCAATTGGTTTAACTGTTATATATCTACTACAAATTTTTTTCAAGTTTTTTCATACCTTAATACAGTAATATATACTTAAGGAAACTTTTTTCTTAAAACTTTCTTCGAAACTATGCTGTCCCCATTTACCCCAAATTTTAGGAAATTTTCTAAATTTTTGGGGTAAATGGGGACAGTCAGTTTCATTCGTTTAAAGCTTATCTAAATTTTTTTCTGCTGCATAAAATTAATCCTGGGAACGTAAATAACAAGTTAAAAAAAATAAACCCGTAAATATTACATTTTAAAGGAAGAGACTTATGTAATTTGTGAAAAATAGCTATTTCGTGCCCATTTACCCCAATTGACCCTACTCTCTAAATCTGAATTAGTAAAAATGTTTACTAATTTGAATTAGTGACTCACTTTTTGCTTCTGAATTAGTAAAATTTTACTAATTATTAGTAACTTTTACTAACAATTAGTAAAATTTTACTAATTCAGAAGCAAAAAGTGAGTCACTAATTCAAATTAGTAAACATTTTTACTAATTCAGATTAGGGAGTACCGTAATTTTCTATTACTGCGCGTTTGTATCAGTTTCGGTGTATCAATTACGGTTACCAAAATTACGTATGTATTTTGAAGATACTTTACCCACCGTAATTGGAGCCAATGGAAATTTTAAAAATGTTTCAATTACGGCGAGGGAAAAATATTTAATCTAAAATAATTAAAAATTAAATTAATAATTGTTTAACTATGTGCATCTTTATTAGTAATTGTATCAAAAAACGATTAAAATAATTTTTTTAAATCATTTTGCAACAGTTATATTAAATATAATAGTAATAATTATTTTTTATGAACGCGCCGTAATTGATGCACTTACCCTATTTATTTATTTTTATTTATTATTATTTTATTTCTTTTGTTAATTCAATTTCATTTTTTATTTTAATTCAAATTTGACATTAAAAATTAATAGCGTTGCATTTTATTTTAATAATACACCTCAAAATTTTCTTCGTGAATTTTGGAAAAAAAATTTTATTAAAATTAAAGAAAAATATTAATTTATCAAAGAAATTTAATTAAAAATTTTTGAAATAATTAAAATTATCAATTAAATTTTTGGTAAATAATTAAATTCTAAATATTTTTCATAATTGAAAATAAATGGATTTCGATAAATGTATGGGATGGTTGCATATAAACAGGGGAACTGTTTAACCTTTTCTGAATTTGAAATTTTAATTTGTTCTATTACCAAATGCGAATTATTTACTTATTTCGAAAAAAAGACGATTTTTTTTTGTACTAATTTATTCGTATTTATTTATCATTTAGATTTCTACAATAATTATTATGTTAAAAAATGAAAAACGAAGATAAAAATTTTTTCATTCTAAATATTGGTACATCTGTATCGATTTTACGAAACGCTGCTAACTTCAAGTGAATTTAATATGTGTCGTCTGTTCCATGACGATCGCGGCGCGCTCTCCCCTGTTATACTTGTTATTTCTATTCGGCTTCAGGTTATAAACTAATATAATAATAATAAAAGAAATACCTAGTATTAAAAAATTCGTATTTAACTATAAGTGAATTAAAAGTAAACTTTTTCAGTAAAGTTTCCCGAAGAAAAAGTTTAATATGGTTTTAACAAAGGAATATCGTATTTGTATGCCACTCACAGTCGAAGAGGTAAAATCTTATTTTTTTTACGACTTTATAATTATTTAATTATTGTTATTAAGTTCTATCAGTTTTTTTTTTTTTGATATTATTACATAATTTATATTTTCTAGAGTATTTAGTTGTGTAATTTTTTTTTATTCCCTTTTTTGTGCGTAGTTTTGTCAAAAAAAAAGTTTATTTTTAAATCATCTACTGTATTTGTAAACAAATCGAATGTATAATTATTTTTCTTTTTCTTTCTAAAATTGCAAGTATCGAATCGGTCAACTTTATATGATCGCTCGACACAGTCATGAACAATCTGATCACGATGAAGGGGTCGAAGTTGTTGAAAATTGCGAATGTGAGGATCCTGAACATGGAAAGGGTCGATATACAGAAAAAAGAATTCATCTTTCTAGGTAAGTTTCATTTTTTTTTTCCCGTACAAAGTGATTAAAATATTTACCGAACACCCCCAAAGAAACAATTTTTTTTCTAAACCCAAAAAAAGTCGGTTTAGAAAAAAAAAAAAAAAAGAATTCTCAATCGACTTTATTTAAAAACGAAAAAAAAGTCGATTTTAGAAAAATAAAATTTCCAAATCGACTTTATCTATTTTAAAAACAAAAAAGGCCAATTTAGGAAAAAAAAATTGTTTTCTGGAGGAGTTCGGTAAATTTTCATCCCTCTGTATAGAAAAAAAATAGTTTTATTATTAAATTTTAAAATTAACGAATTAAAATTAATCGATTATTATTCGATTTTAATAGAATCGAAAAATTATTTTAAATTATGTAAATCAAATTTTCTTCAGCAAACTTCCGTACTGGATTCAGTCAATAATTCCAAGGATATTTTACGTGACTGAAAAGGCGTGGAATTATTATCCATTTACAATAACAGGTAAGTAAAATTTCTTTACTCTTACATTGAATAATTTCCTTTTCAATTTTCATATACACTTGTAATAATGGATTTTTTTCTCTCTCTTTTCATATTATCATTGGTTTCCCAGAGTATACCGTAAGTATTCATTTTATTTCTGTATTTTTTGATTTATTTATTACAGCCCTTGAACATGATTAATTATATCTTTTTCAATTTTTAGTTTAATTTATATCTGCAATGATTTATTTTCTTCGTAAGAGATTATACTTTAATGTCCAGAAAAAAAAAAATTAAAACGTAAAAACGTTTTTTATCACGTAATTTACAGAAAAAGTCAATTACACTACCGTCCGAAATTGTGCGAACTCTGCTTTTTCAACAACTATAAAACTGTTCAAATCTTCAAAAATATTAAAACTAAAATTTTTTCCTCTTTATTTTATTAAAGTTAATAAAATTCTGAAAGAAATGACACCTTGACAAAGAGAATATGTTAATTTTTCAATTAGATATCTAAGAAAAACACAATTTTCAATGTTTTTACTATTTTTTTTATTTCTCTGGCAAAAATTAATATTTTTAAACGTTCTTAGGCTTATTGAAATCGTATTTTGTTATGCAATTCAAATTATATAAAACAATTCATGTACACATTCTTCCCTAGCGTATGCAAACCGTGAAAGTTGGCTCATAAAATGTCAAAAAATTTAAATTTAATTCTACAATAAAATATAATGTTTAAAAATCAAGTAAATATATCATTCTAAACTTCTCTGATTTATGTAAGTAAATTTAAGATTTATACATTTTACTGATCATTTTTTGTCATATGAATATTAATCAAAATTTTTTGACATTTTATGAGCCAACTTTCACGGTTTGCATACGCTAGGGAAGAATGTGTACATGAATTGTTTTATATAATTTGAATTGCATAACAAAATACGATTTCAATAAGCCTAAGAACGTTTAAAAATATTAATTTTTGCCAGAGAAATAAAAAAAATAGTAAAAACATTGAAAATTGTGTTTTTCTTAGATATCTAATTGAAAAATTAACATATTCTCTTTGTCAAGGTGTCATTTCTTTCAGAATTTTATTAACTTTAATAAAATAAAGAGGAAAAAATTTTAGTTTTAATATTTTTGAAGATTTGAACAGTTTTATAGTTGTTGAAAAAGCAGAGTTCGCACAATTTCGGACGGTAGTGTATTTTCTACAAAAAAATTTTTGTTAACAATAATGAGAAATTCCAGACAAATTCATAAACCGACACACACTGGGGCAAAATTTAGTTTTGGACAAATCAACATTTACAAGTAAACCTACGGAAGTGAGAATCTCCGATTTTAATGAAACTTGGTATGAATGTAGTACTCGGAAAAATAAGAGACCCGTATTTTTTTATATCTGCCATGATCCACTTTAATGGGTAGAAATCCCTACTGAAAATTCCCACATAGACTTCTATATAGGAAACCATATGGCTTCCTATATAGGGACCCATGTGGTTTCCCATATGGGAGCCTATGTGGGAATTTTCAGTGGGGATCACCCCTTGAAGTTATAGGGGTGTAATGTCATAATTAGAGCTTGTGGTCAAACTATTACTAGTAGCTAAACAGTGAATACCGCAATGAAAACATTAGAAATACAGTTAATTTTCCATAGAAAAATATTTAATAAATTCAATTGTTTAAACAATTACTTGAAATCAACAAAAATCTTGAAATCTAATAACGCCATTCGATTCTTATATCTTTTTGACGAAGCGAAGTTCTTATTAGTTATAAAATTGTTTATTTAATTTTTTATGTAAAATGAAATTTAAAAAAAAGTTTTGCAAGGCACAGTTTCGTCGTAATTTTTTCCATAGAATCGAATGGCGTTATTAGATTTCAAGATTTTTGTTGATCTCAAGTAATTGTTTAAACAATTGAGGGGCTGATAGTAAAAATGGTTTAAAATAACATTGGGAGCAAAAATGGGATAAGTGACTTGGGAGCAAAAACGGGTTAAAATGATTCGTGTTATTTATTGATAAATTCATTACATTATCGATTAAAAAATATTAACAATAGGAAAAAATGCATATTTTATTATAATTAATATTTTTTAATCAATAATATAATGAATTTATCAATAAATTACACGAATCATTTTAACCCGTTTTTGCTCCCAAGTCACTTATCCCACTTTTGCTCCCAATGTTATTTTAAATCATTTTTACTATCAGCCTCTCAATTGAATTTATTAAATATTTTTCTATGGAAAATTAACTGTATTTCTAATGTTTTCATTGCGGTATTCACTGTTTAGCTACTAGCGAGGGGGAATTTACTAGTTAAAAACGTGTACACTTGACTACCGGTATTACACCTCATATTACCCTTATTACTAAGTTATTACACGTTATTACAGAGATATTACAGATTTTTCTGCGTTATTACAGCACTGTAATAACGCATTATTACACGGTATTACACGTTATTACACAAGTATTACAGGAAGAGTGTACACTTGACTACCTGAGTAAATTCCCCCTCGGCTACTAGTAATAGTTTGAGCACAAGCTCTAATTATGACATTACACCCCTATAACTTCAAGGGGTGATTTCTACCCATTAAAGTGGATTATGGCAAATATAAAAAAATACGGGTCTCTTATTTTTTCGAGTACTACATTCATACCAAGTTTCATTAATATCGGAGATTCTCACTTCCGTAGGTTTACTTGTTACACTAAACTGCCCCGGTAAGAAGCGAGGAATAGAGAAAGATCGAAAGTTTGCATAGATATTAAAGGATTAGACCACTGTGAAATTTTTAAAAAATCGAAATTTTTTTTTTTTTTTTTTGCCAAAAAGGTGCCTTAGGGTGTTAGAAATGAGAAACAATAATCATTATTAGAGGTAAAATATTTTTAAAAGCTTAAATTTTACATCCGCACGGTGCCGGATATACGGTTCTGTATATCATAGAGACATACGTTTACGCATTTTTCTCAAAACCAAGTTTTTCAAACTGGCCGGTAACATTTCTCGTACAATTTTGGATGAAATTAGCTAAAAATTGGTTTACAGCTTCAAGATAACATTTTTTATGGAAGTACGTAGGGAATTTTTTTTTATTAACAATTTTCGATTTTTTTTAGCAAAAAAAACTCGAAATTTTTATCAAACACGTGCAATTTTTACAAAAATTGATTTTTTTTTCAAAATCCACTGCGTACTTTTATAGATTTTAAGTTATAAATTATGAAAAAATTTGGTTTTTTGTTCTATGTCAAAAACTGAAAAAGATTTTCTATCGGCCCTACACCTCTGCATAAAAAATGGTTTTTGTAGATCGTCGCCATTTTAATTTTTTTACCTTTTGAACATAATTTTTTAATAGTTTAATATGTACTAAACAATAATTTTTAATTCATTTTATTCTGTTCTCGAAAGAAAAAATCTTAAAAATGGGTCTGATTTTCGGTCTTGACAGTAGTGTGGTCTAACCCCTTAAGCATAAGTTGATCATTTTGCAATTATTCTGAATAGGCGAATTCACATTTTTACCCAATTCTCCAGTAAACGTCTAAATATAAAAAAAAAATTAATTCTTTTCTATTCCCAGTACAGATAAGTCAATACAAAAAAAATTCAAACTTCTTATTTTTCTTAATGCGCAAAGTTTTTTATTTTCAAACTTTTTGGAAGCGAATAGAAAAAAATTAAATATTTGGAGAGTAAATTTTAAATGTCTATTCCTTTCAATCGTCAACTTCAAAAATTTTCAAAGCGTATTGAAAGGAATAAGAAATTTGAAAAAAAAATAATAAATAAAAAATAAATAAATATTTTTTAAAACTAAATAAATAAAATAATAAATTCTAGTTTAGAATTCCAAAAAAATCGTTTTTTTTTTTTTTTTTGCTTGAAAATGTTTCTTAGTATAATAAAATTATTGCCCCAGAACGTTTTTTAAAAAATATGTAAAAAAAACAAAAGTTGTAATCAAAAAAATTTTATGTCAAATGAATTTTCATTTGTCCGAAAGTAGAAATGACCGAAAGAATAATCGACAGAAAGATTTCGGCGCGATTTTTAAAATCAACCAATTACAATTTTATGGATAATTTTTGATTGGTTGATTTTACAAATCGCGCCGAAATCTTTCTGTCGATTATTTTTTCGGTCATTTCTACTTTCGGACAAATAAAAATTCTATCAATTAGAAATTATGTAGTATATGAAAAATTGATTATATAAAAATTCTATCAAATAATATGCTGCTGCCAATAATTGCCATTATAAAAACTTGGCAATAGTCAGAATCTCTTTTAGGTGATCTGAAGTTAAATTATTGATGTCGTACTTATTTTGTAAATTAAACTGAAACATCTATAGTATTTATTTTACTATTTTTTCAGTGTTCATTCATTCCAAAATTTCAAATCTACATTAAAACAAGATATGAAGATAATAATGGTTCCACGGAAAATGTAAGTTAATCTATACAAATAGTAAAACTAAACTTAAAAAGATAAATAATGTAAAATTTGATTTTACAATAATTCAATATAATTATTTATTATTTTAAATATAGTGTTTAGGTCTATCACCAGTAGAACTTGTGCATCGTGAAGTTGATTCCATAGATATTGCTTATGATGAAATAACCGCGAAACATTATAAAGAGGAAGAGGTAATTTGAAAATTTTTATTTATTCCCACACAGTAAACAGATTTTGCAATACTGCCAACATTGTCAAATTCCTTTTCTAATCCAAATAAATTATTTGTCTCAAAAATTTATGATCCTTAAGATAAATAAAAATTTTTGAAGATAATTAAACCCTAAAGTTAATTCTGATATAAAGTAATCACTTTAATTTGATTGATTTGTATTAAAATCGATATATCGATTCACTCTCTTTAACGAAACAGATACTATCCATAACGAGACTATAATTTCTCAGAATCAAAATATTTGCCTACCACTATCAATAAATTCAAAGATAAAGAACAGCTTCATCTGTGAATTGGATTCGAAAGTCAGCGAAATTTTTTTTTAGAATCAATGTTCGCAACCTCGCGGTTAAAAAAGCGGTATAATTAATAAATAAAAAAAAAAAATGATTTTCTTCTCTTTAGGATCCAAAGTTCTTCCAGTCGAAATTAACTGGTCGAGGTCCTTTGATAGAAGGATGGAAAGACACAACTCAACCAATTATGTGTTCCTACAAAGTAGTAAATGCTTCCTTCGAAGTTTGGGGTATGCAAACACGAGTTGAAGACTTTGTACATCGAGTGAGTTATTAACCTCATATTTCCACATATTTGCAGAAAATTAACTTTCTTAAGTAAAAATTAATTTTTCCCCGGGTTATTGCTTCCAAAAGCAATTTATATAATTTTTGGAAGCAATACCAGGGGAAAAATAAAAAAAATTTTATAAAATAAAAACCTTGCTCTTAGTGTATTCGAGATATTTTACTACTTGGCCATCGTCAGGCGTTTGCTTGGATTGATGAATGGCACGACATGACATTGGAAGACGTGAGAAAATATGAGGAAAAAATGCAAGCCGAAACAAATGAAAAAGTACAAGCTAAAATTCATGGATTAGAGGTAAAGACTGAAGAATCGATTCCCGCTTCACCCACAAGTTCCATTCCATCATCTCCTACTCTTAAGAGTCCAACACAAGCAAGTGCTCGGTCATGGTTCTCTTGGTCGTAGCCTATCGCCAAATAAAAACGTCATCACCTCTATAGATTAAAAAAAAAGGATAATACTCCTTAACGAATGTAAATAGCCTCAGAACCTTTGTTATACAAAAAAAAAATGAAATACTCCTTGTATTGCTGAAAGCACGCACTTATCTTTAAAAGATAATAATAGCATTATTTTTTTTTTTTGTTTCCTCGGAAAGAAAACTGTAATTTTAGAAGCATCAATTATCGCAAGCTTTATTATTGGTACTTAAATAGAAAGCTGTCTGTGATACGAGCTGGATTCTATTTTTCAAATTCTCATTTTCAAGGTGACAAAAATAGATATCAAAATTTCATAAAAAAAAAAAAAAATTATAGTAGAATAATTTTACTTGACAAATTTTAAATGTGGCTATGACTTAAAAAATTTACAATTTAATTACTTAAAGTTTCATTTTTTATGTACTGGTTACTAAAAATAAACAATTGCTAAATAATTGATTTTTTTACATAAATAAGACAAAAAAAAACAAACACTTTTCTTGTGAAAAAAATATTCTTCTATTGCAAATATAAATGGGCTTAAAGGAATAATAAAAACTGTAAATGTTATACACAATACAGCCATAAAATATACGTATTTTGCACGCTTGTGTGCTTATTGTTATATATATATATTTAAAATGATATTTATTTATAGCAAATTAAAATCGACTTTTGAGTTTATAAATTATCTTGCCTATAACTACATATTGTACGAAAAAAATGGGTGTCCATAATTGTTATAAACTATTTCTTTCGGTCTCTCTATTTCAAGATAGCCATTCTTTTCCTGTTAATCTCATTGTATTCTCTGTAAAAAAAAAATCGAAGACAAAAATAAAAGGAAAACTAAATTAAGAAATTACTGTGTATTTTCTGTGCCAAAATTCTCCAAAGTCAAGATTCTAAAAATTGGAACTGATTGTCAGGGGTTGTAAAAAGATGATGATGATGATCAGTTTGAGATTAAAAAGATCAAATCGTAAAAAGAAACTAAAAATTACACTACTGAAGAAAAACCAATTGTCAGGGGCTTTCTAACGATTTCTACCAATACGATAAATTTTCTTAAAGTAATAATAAAGATTACTTTAAAGAATAATATTATTTTCAAAAATATCTACATTGTCAAGCTACGGAAAATTAATTGTCAGGGACTATCTAACGATTTCTACCAATACGATTAATTTTCCAAGAATGGAATAAAAAGTAAATCGGAATTTTAGTTTAATATTCTTATAAGACATGTGCATTGCAATAAACTACATGACAATTTGAAAGATTAAAAAATAGAGATGACATAATTAATTTATTTAAATAATAATTTATTATTAAACTAGCAAAATTAAACGCGCCAAATTGGGTATTTAATTGTTTGTTATAAAGAAATTAAAGATTAATATTATCAATAATAATTTAATTTATTAGAATATTATTACATATTAAATGATAATAATGAAAATTATATTATGTTTACAGGCCTCGGATTATACGACTTTTTCCGACTTTTTTCAAAAATACGACTTTTATCGACTTGTTTTAATAAAATGAGACATTTTTTTTTACATTTGAAAAAAAATGTAAATAAAACACATTTTTTTAGTATAAAATGTAGATCTTCTTCAGATCTTCTTCAATTCAATTATTCAACAAATTTTGAACTAAAATGATTCTTCACTAAATTAATTATTTTTAATAATTTTAATGAAATACATCACAAATTCAATTATATCAAAATTATTTTTCTATTAAAATTTTTATGAAATTTAACAATTGTTTATAATAATTATCCAAAATTTTCAATTTAAAATTTAATTATTTACCAAGTTTTCAATTTAAAATGCAATGAAATTCAATTATTTTCTAAAATTTCTATTCAAAATTAATTATACAAATTTTCAATCAAAAATGAACTTAAATTAAATTATTATCCAATATTTTAATTAAAATTCAATTATTTCCCAAAATTTTTAATACAAAATGAACTGAAATTCAATTATTTTCCAAATTTAAAATCAAATAAAATTTCATTATTCTCAAAAATTTGAATTGAAAATTAATTGAATTTTCAACAATTTGAATTTAAAAGCATGTAAAATTTAATTATTTTTTAAAAATTTCAATTCAAAATAAACTAAAATTCAATTATTACCCGAAATTTTAATTAAAAATCAATTAAAAATCCAATAATTATCCAAAATTTTCAATTTAAAATTTAATTATTTACCAAGTTTTCAATTTAAAATGAAATAAAATTCAATTATTTTCTAAAATTTCTATTCAAAATTATTTATCCAAATTTTCAATCAAAAATGAACTTAAATTAAATTATTATCGAAAATTTCAATTCAAATTTAATTATTTCCCAAAATTTTCAATTCAAAATGAATTGAAATTCAATTATTTTCCAAATTTAAAATCAAAAAAAATTTAATTATTCTCAAAAATTTGAATTCAAAATTAATTGAATTTTCAATAATTTGAATTTAAAAGTATCTAAAATTTCATTATTTCTAAAATTTTCCATCGAAATTTTTTTTTTTGAAATTTAATAATTTCAATTATAACTCTAAGGAAATTCAATTATTTTTAACTATTTTAATAATATTCTTTGAAATTTCAACTATCTGAAACCATTTTTCAATTAAAAATGATTTTCAAATTATTGTATTTTGTCCGCATTTTCTAATAAATTTTTAGTGAAATCATCTAAAATTTTAATTACAAAACACTTAAAGTTTCAATTAATTTCAAAAATCTCAATTTTAAATCTTTGAAAATTCAATTAAATTTAAAAAATGTTTTCCAAAAATTGTTTGATAAATTATTTTTAGTTCTGTAAAATTTAATAATTGTTCGAAAATTAACAATATCTTTTGAAATTTAATTATTTCTAAAAATTTCAACTTTAACCCTTCGAAAAGGATTATTATTAAAAAAAAAAATTATTATTTAAAAATCTGTAAAATATTTTTGTTAAAATAAAAAACAAATCCACTTTTTTTGGAATATAAATCGACTAAAACGACTTTTTGTGTCTTTAAGTTGATTCGAGGCCTGTTTTTTATATAATTAATATTTAATAGGTATTCGTTGGCCCCTGGTACCTTAAAAATTAATTTTTAAAAATTAATTTTTTTCAAATTACTATCTTGTACGAAATTTCCTGGCGCATCTTTTTTCTCATCATAAATTTTTTGTACAATTTTTGAATCAATATACAACTTTAAAAAAAATTTCGTTGGTAAACGTTGTGTACTTCAGCTTCGTGAATTGAATTTTCGAATTTGGAATTTTAAAGAAACTTATTCCGAAATTTGGAAACACAATTATACAACTTTGGCAAAAATGAGAAAAAGAATTGTCAAAATTTGACACGTCATAAGATTACTATTCAAAAAAACACGTGAAATCTGAAAAGGCCAACTTCAAGTTAGGACAGAAGGACAGACCAAGCATTTTATTATTATATAATTATGATTAATCATTTAAAATTGATTTTTTTTTAAACTAGAAAAGATAATTTTTCTAAAATAAAATATCGAAAATTCATTTGTCCGTATTTTTATTTGTGCAAATTGTTTTATTGAATGATTTCCTAAGATGCCGATTTTTCATTTGACCGAAATTGTAAATGTCCGAATAAACAATATCGACTTGATTTCGGCGCGAATTTTAAAATTCACCAATCAGAAATTATCAAGAAAATTGTGATTGTTTAATTTCAAAATTAGCGCCGAAATTTTTCTCTCGATTGTTGGTCATTTTGCAAATTCGGACAAATGGAAATTCGACGTTTTAAAAATTCTATCAAATAATAATTTCTGAAAATAAAAATACGGAAAATTGTAGATTCGATGAATTAGAAATTTTTGCATTTAAAAAATCAAGTCACTTAAAATTCTATTACATGAAAATTCAGATATAAATTAATATTTTGTTAAAATAGAATTTTTTAAATTAAAAAAAATCACGCATATCAGAAATGTTTATGATTAAACTTGAAAAACAAAAACCTTTTTTTTTATAAACTTTATACGTAATAATCTCTATAATCAGAAAAAGATAAGTAAAATTATTGCATAAGTGATAAAAGAAGTTATTTCTTAAAACAATATTACATTTCAGTATTATTTTTCGAATATAAAGTAAATTTTTTTTTTTAATTTACACTGAAAATTTTATTTGATTTAAATAATACTTGACTATTATCAAAGCAATGTTTACTTGAATTTTTGCAAATAATTTTAAAAATCACTAAATAGTAAAATTTGTTATTCTATAAAAAGTTGAAAAATAATTTTTGTTTATTTTTTTTATTAAGTAATAATTACAAATTTTAATTATATTTGTAAAATACATTTACAATATAATAAAAATTATTTGCTACTTAACTATTATCAAATAAATATTTAATTATACCAAATAAATTTTATTTTCCAAATAAATATTTAATTAAACCCAAATAATTTTTATTTTCCAAATAAATATCTAATTAAACCCAAATAATTTTTATTTTCCAAATAAATATCTAATTAAATCCAAATAATTTTTATTTTCCAAATAAATATATAATTAAACCCAAATAATTTTTATTTTCAATTAAATAAATTGTTTTTGAACCAATAATAATTTTTGTATTTGTAACAAATAGCATTTAATAAACTCAAATAATAATTTAATACAAATAAATATTTATTTTGTAAATAGTCGGGATTATTTGAATGAAAGACATTTTTTTCAATGTAGTATTGTGAAATAATTTTCTAATGTGTTTGTAATGAGGACACGATTTCCATAATAAACATTTATGATTGAGTGAAGGACATAAAGGAAAGCTCGGAAAATGATTTTGGTACTGCAAGGGACAAAGGTCACTATTGATCGAATGTGCGAGGGTGCGCGCCAGCGCAGCCGATAGTTATTCGTCTTTGCAACTTGCATTAAGGGACGCACTTCGCCACCCCAAAAAACATTCGGGATTTAGCCGATTCGCCGGCTATATAGTGTTGTTTGTTATTGCTGTCACAATGTCAGGCGGTAAGAGTACACAAAAATATTATATTCTAATTCCTATATATTATTTACTAACATTGTCAATTGTAATTTTATTCTCAAATCCCCATTTCACAAGAAATTCATTTACACTGTGATTTAATCACATTTTCAATTTTTCATATTCATACACTACAATGTGTTTTTCAATGACTAGATAATTTCATTTTTCGTCGGCTCTATGATTTAATAATTAATTAAATATTATAAATTAAATTTTTTTTATTGATTTTCGAATACAAGGCCTTGAATTCTAAAATTAATTTTTCTTTAAGTTTTTTCAACAATAATTATTATTTAATTTTACACACGGAAATTAAAAAAATTTGACTCACATCAGAGAAATGAGGTCGCAATGTTTATGTATTTAGAAGAAAAATTCTCTTTGATTTAAGAAATTTTTTTTTTATATTTATTTTTGAATCAAAAGAATTTATTTTTTTAATAAAAACAAAATAAAAAAAAAATTTAAACATAAAAACATTCTTTTTTGTTCAAAAATTTTTTTCTTTGACGGTATATATTTCTCTGATTTAAAGAAACTATTTTTCAAAAAAATTAATTATTTTATAACAATTTAACGGGCACTAATTTGTGTTTATGTAATTATTTTTATTTTATATTTACAATAAATTTAAAAATATATTTTAATTTTATTATAATTCTTTAAAAAGTTCAAAAATAATTTTTATTTATTTTTTATTAAAAATTACAAAAAAAAATGGAAATAAATAATTATTTTACAATATTTTACTGAAAAAAGAAGAATTATTTGCTTCAAATAATCGGTTACTTTACTATTATCAAATAAATATTTAGTTGAACCAAATAATTTTTATTTGAATTAAATAAATTTGTATTTGAACCAATAATTTCTGTATTTAAAACGAATGCCAAGTTATAAACTGATAAAAAGGGAACCCATTTAAAATCGATTAAAATTTGTTTCAGCAAGACAGGGACTATATTGGATTTGCGACACTTCCAGAACAAGTGCACAGGAAATCAGTAAAAAGAGGATTCGAATTTACATTGATGGTCCTGGGTGAAACTGGATTGGGAAAATCAACCCTAATAAATAGTCTTTTCCTTGGTGATCTCTATAAAGATCGACGAATTCCCGATGTCTCTGGTAAGAATTAATTTATCATAGAAAAAAAATTTTTTTTTTATAATAATTTATAATTTTTCAAAAGAAAAAAAATTACTCTATCCTGGCTTTTATTTTTATTTTCCAACTAAATATTTAATTAAACTAAATAAACGATAATAAACGATCTTTTTGTCTCCTATTTTTTCCAAAACTGTTATTCTTTTAAATTAATACAGGTGCGACAAAACACCCCGAGAGTTGGGGTGTGTATTGACGCAAGAAGTAAAGTTATATTAAAAGTTCAAACTAATTCAAATATTAATTAATTATCGAAATTAATTTTTGGAAATTAATTAATGAAACTAATTGGTTAAATGAATTATTGAAATTATTTAGTGAAAATAATTTATTACAAATTTTAATTTTAATTTTTTTATTTTTTAAATAAAAAAAATAGTAAAATTTACATTTGTGGAATTTCTTTTAGAACGAATAGAAAAAACAACGTCAATTGAAAAAAAGACAATGGACATAGAAGAGCGTGGAGTTAGATTACGATTAACAATTGTCGACACTCCGGGTAATAATTTATAATTTATTTAAAAAATAAACTTTATGAAAATTAATTGCAATAATTGTGTTTACTGAATTTTTTTTTATTGAAACTTTAGGCTTTGGAGATTCAGTAAATTGTGAAGACACATGGAAAGCATGTTCGTCGTATATTGATGAACAATTTCGACAATATTTCACTGACGAAAGTGGATTGAATAGAAAAAATATACAGGACAACAGGGTACATTGCTGTCTTTATTTTATTCCCCCATATGGACATGGGTGAGTAATTTTTATTGATTAAAATTGTTAAAAATAATTTTTTTAATTTTATAAAATAAATATTGAAAAAAAAAATTTCAATAAAATTTTGGATAATTTTTACTGCTATACTTATTTTTTAAATAATTAAATTTAAAAAAAAATTATAAAATTTTTGTAAATAATTGAATTTTTGAAAATTTGAATGAAAAATAATTTATTTGGCAAATAATTATAAAAATAAAATTTATTAATAATTGAATTTCGGTTCAGGTATTAAAATTACTAATTCTCCAAATCAGGGACTGATTTTACAATTGTTATAAAAAAAACATTCTTTAGGTTCAATTTCATTAGCTCAGAATTTCACCCAAGAAAACTTATTTATCTACTGTTTATTTATTTATTTTTACAGTAAATGAAATTTGTTTCAAGTCAAATGATAATTTTTTTGTGTTTGCAAATTAACTTTGTTTAAATTAATTACAATAGAATTAAATATTCGATTATGTTTTCGTTATGTACGAAACGAAAAAAAATATTCTTCATTTACGACAAATTCCTCTTGTTTTAAGAGAATTATTTTCTTTTTAAGAATATTCCTCTTAAAATAAGAGGAAAAATACTCCCCGATTAATATTCTTGATTCAAGAGGATTTTCTCAAGAGAAATTTACCTCTATTTTCAAGAATATTTTTTTTTCGGTGCGGAATATTCCAAAACTAATAGAAACGAATTTCATTTTGGTATATGATTTTATCAATCATCGGGTGTTGATTTAATAATCGTAAAAAAAAAATTCTTCGGGTTTAATTTTCATTAGCTCAGAATTTCACCCAAGAAAACTTATTTACTTATTTATTTTCACAATAGATTGTGTCAAGTTACAATTTTTTGTGTTTGCAAATTAATTTTTTTTTTGAAATAAAATTGCAATATAATTAATTTTTAAAAAAATTTTTAATTAAAATTAAATTTGCAATACAGACTCAGACAAGTGGATCTTGAAGTATTAAGGAGATTACATCGCAAAGTAAATGTCGTACCAGTAATTGCCAAAGCGGACACTCTAACAACGCAAGAAGTAAAAAAATTAAAAGAACGAATACTTGCTGACATTGAGGAGCATGAAATTCAGGTAAAAATAAAAATTTCTCTGTGATTAAAAGAAATTGTAAAATTAAATAAATGCAAAGCATTTGTGGGAAGCATTAACATTCATTGAGATTTATTTGAAATTCAATAGATTTATCAGTTCCCCGATTGTGACAGTGATGAAGACGAGGAATTTAAACAACAGGACAAAGAATTAAAGGCTTGTGTACCGTTTGCTGTTGTTGGTAGTTCAACAGTTTTAGAAGTTGCTGGACGAAAAGTTCGTGGACGACAATATCCTTGGGGAGTTGTTGAAGGTATAAATATTATTTTAAAAAAATGATTATAAATTTTTGATAATTTTAAACATATTTTTTCTTTTTTTCGAAACTCAGTTGAAAATCCAAAACATAGTGATTTTGTGAAATTACGAACAATGTTAATTTCAACGCATATGCAAGATTTAAAAGATGTCACACAAGACGTTCACTATGAAAATTTCCGTGCTCAATGTATTTCCCAAATATCCCAGCAAGCGATCCGGGAAAGGAGGTATTTACGCATGTAAATAATATCATTTTATATTTCATATATAATTGTATACAGCACAATTAAGTAAATTTTCAAAATTATCTCTGGCACTTTCAAATTAACATAATTTTGTCTTTACAGTATTTTTATTTATAAAAATTAAAAAAAATTTTAAACTATTAAAAGTTTAAGTTGAAACTATGATTTCTAAAATACAATTTTTTTTTATTTTCAGTAAATTAAAAAGAGATTCTGGTCCACATTTCGATAATAATATTTCCGAAACTGACAGACTACTTTTACAGAAGGATGAAGAGGTAAAATTATTCATTAGATCTTTTGCTCTCCAAAGTAAAAACCTAGTCACTTTTCTAAAACTTTCAAACTCATAGAAAATTTAATTTCTAATTTTACAAAAAAAAAAATTTGTTTTCTAATTTATAGATACGCAGAATGCAAGATATTTTGGCTCAAATGCAAGAGAAATTAAAAGCAACGGGACAAGTAAGAAGAGTTGGAAGTTTAGGAAATGATTTAGATGTAACTGACGTAGACAAAAAGCGAAACAGTATTATTGATGTTTGAAACTTTTTCTGTGATTCTACATTTTGGCGATTACTATAATGCTCCATTTATATATATACTATAAGAATAGAGTTCAGGGTTTTAATTATCGCCTTAATTCCAGAAAAGCTTTTTAAAATTATTTAGAAAAGCGCATCTCGTATTAAAGCCAATCATATACAAAAGTATCAGACAATACCCTGAATTAACAATAAAAAAAAAAAACTGATTAATCAGTAGCGAATCCAGTCAAATACAGGCTTAATTTTATAAATACGAGAGACAGAAAAAAAATCATTTCAATTTTTTTAACAAATCCGCCTTTGTCTGGATTCGCCACTGTGGAAAAATAAAAAAAAAATTTTGTTGAATTATTATTTTTAAGTTGTTATCGAGAGTATGGTTTAAATATAATATATTAATTAATTGTATACATCACGTAGAATGTAAGTGATATTTATAAATCGCACAAGTATTACTTTTCTCCACCTATTGAATTTTGCACAAAGGAAAGGAAGTGTTTTTTTTTTTTTTTTTTTAAAGAATGTTTTCAAATATAGGTGGAGAATGTTTTTTATAAACTGAGGCAATTAAATATTGAAATATATACTGTTTTTAATTAAGTAATACGTATAATATGTATATTCAGGGAAAATAAATTCTTTCTAAATGACATTTTGATTTAAAATAATAATAATTTTCTTTTCCATCCATAATACGGAAAAAAATATAAAATTTTTACTATTTTACAAAGTAAAACCTGAACTGTCGGAAACTTCTGCGCTTTTGTAGAAACTTTTGCTCCGGAAATAGGAAAAAATTACTAGGGTAAGTGCATCAAATACGGCGCGTTTATAAAAAATAATTATTACTATTATATTTAATATAACTGTTGTAAAATGATTAAAAAAAATTATTTTGATCGTTTTTTTACTATATAGAAGTAGTAAAAATTACTTTATTTTTGTTTTCCATTTTTCTCCGTGGCAAGAATGAATTTTATGAAATTTTTTTGCTTAGGGACTTTTGGGAAATTTGTATACAGATACCTTGGTTTTCGCATGCCAAAGTTATGTGAGGTTTGTTAAAAAAAAAAAAAAAAAATCTGTCGAACTACTACCAGCCCCGACCCACTAAAACCTGTTTTAACCCTTTTTGTGGAGCCCTTTATCCACCCTCGGAACTGTAGGAAAACTTTTGACTTCGAGGGTGGCTCTCTAACACTGTCGCAAAAGCGATTTCGTCCATTCCTGCAGATATCCTGCGTTATCAATTTTTAAAAAATAATAAAAATGATTATCAATGTCAAAGCGAAATTAACAGCACACCAGAAAAAAAACATTAAAATAAAGTCAATAAATTAAAAAGAAAACAAAGAATACAATAAATGTCAAAATTAAAATTGTAAAAAAGACAAAAGGACAAAATAATACTAGTAACTTTAAAGAAATATTAAATTTAGTTAATTAATATTCATCAAAACCAAAAAGGACTTCAAGTATCAATCAAAAACGATCCTATCACCTCGGCAGACAAAACGTGAATAATCTGCTAACTTAAAATTAAGATAACCTGCGTATTCGCAAAACACTTTCTAAAGCCCGTTTAACATGTATACTCTTGGCTGAAAATGCCAACAATCTTTTGTCCTTTTCTAACACACGTGTTGCCATGACAATATGTGCGTTAGAAAAGCACAAAAAATTGTCCACAACGACAAACTTACAGAGACGCCAAGCGGAGAAAGTGTTCAATACTGGTCACGTGATTATCGATTTACAATTTGATTCGATACATCGAAATATCAACATCAAACGTAAAATGGATATTTCAATACTGTTTTTTTTTTATTTTAAAGGTGCTTTTATACCTCCAGTATTTTGGTCAAGCAATCGGCTGGATTGAATTTTCACGGAGAATCACTGACTTTGATTGGCTCTAAAAATATTCAATTTTCACGGTGGAAATGAAATATTAGTCAGAGCCAATCAAATTTAGTGATACAACCGTGAAAATTTAATCCAGCCGATTGGCAACGGTGGTCTAGTAACAATCTAGTAACTTTGACCCATTCTCTCCCTCCATTTTGTTTTTTCTACTCTTTCTAATCTATTAACTGAAGAGAGAAAAAGAAAGAAAATGTAGGGAGAGAATGGGTCCCCATCAGATGGCGTATTGCAGTTTAGCCGATCCCAATTATTTTACCAAAATACTGGAGGTATAAAAGCACCTTTATAATGTTCAAGATAAACAGAAACAGAACCCATTGTAGATACAGCCTTACGTAGTGTTATAAAATTCTCGGTAAATTGAAACTGGAGAAGGTAAGAAAGAAAATTGCGGTAAATTACCGAAAAAAAGAGAATTTACGAGATTATACGAGAATATTCATTTAAGTGATTTATAATTGACTTTTTTTAATTTAAATATGTATTTTTATAGTATGTAGGTTAAAGATAATTGACGGAAGTGTTATTTACATGAAATTATATAATTTATTAATCATTATATAATTTGAACAGTGAATATATAAAAAACCGTTATTCTTTTATGTTCTAGCTTACAGAATTATGTATCACATCACATTATTCTTGACAGTCTAAATAATTGCAAAATTAAATAAAATATGTTACATTAGAGAAAATAATTTGTTTTTAATTAAATATATTTATGCTATAAATTTTCAAACGATGTTATTCACTATAAAATTCACAAAATTTTAGTTTACGCATAAAATAAATTTTTTAAATTACTTTTAAATAACCTAAAATTTGTTTAAAAAATAAAACTTCATTTACATAGTCGTTCAGAAGTCTAGTTTTAGACGCCTTTTTAACAATTTTTGTTCTGTATCACGTGTATCGAAATTTTTAAATTAAAATCTTTAAGTAGTTTATTGAAAAACTTTAGAATAAAATTAAAACAATCGAAATAAAAAATAACCATTTTAAAGATCTGAATCGGAATCAATATTGCTGTCCTCAAATGAATCCTCTTTGCATTGCTTTTTCAATAACTTTGCTCATTGTAATTGGAAATATTAGTAATTTAAACAATTTTTTAATTCTCGGAGAAAAAACGAAGCGGTAATTTACCGCAATCTTCTTTCCAGTGATGGGTTGTGACGCGTCACACGAAGTTTTGTACGTATAATACGTTTTCGACGTAATATTGGGATCTCTTGTACTGTAAGACGCTCTCTGGTGAAAATTTTTGTAACCCTCGAGAGTAGGTCGTTTTGTCTAATTTTGTCCAACTTCCACCAATCAGCGTAGGTTTTTAACGCGGTGTCGAAAAATGGTACCACTGAGAGGAGGTTAAATGATTAAGCCACGCCCCACAAGAGATCCCAATACGTATAAAATGTATAAAACCATGTAGAAAACCACTGAAATTTTGACATCTATAAATGATCCTCTGATTTTTGCCATAACGAATTTTTCTTATCATTCTATTTAAATTAAAGTCTTAAAATAAAATAGAAATGGTCAGAAAAAGTAAAAGAAAATCTTTTAAAGAGGGTCGCACGAAAAAAAAGCGTCCACTTCTACTCATAATACTTGTCATTTAAGAGCTTTGTTATTGTTTATAAAGTTTTTATTTAAAAAATGTTTATTTTGGGAGATACCAAACGACTAGACTGACAATATAATACTTAGAATATAGGTTATGTTATTATGCACGTGGCCCGGTGTTCACTCTTATCTGTGAAACCAACTTAGAAATAAAACCGATATAAAAACATTTCAATAATTAAAAATGTTGTTTTATAATTGTTAAAATAATTAATAATTACCTAAATTTTGTTTATATTAACAACTTTCTCTTTCAATAGTGTAAAGTAATGAATGATGTATTTTAATGAAGAATTTAAAATTGCCGCTCTTACATCACGTGATCAAATGTAATATACATCGTGTAGAAAACTTGGCACGTAATATACGTAGTATTATACACGTAGAAAACCACGTATTATACGTCATGTATTATACGTACCCATCACTGCTTCTTTCTTTTCTTGATGTAATTTACTGTCTTTAGAATACTAGCCTTACGTTTCATCCATGTGATTTTACCTTTAAGTTCTAAGAAAAAAACGCGCACGCGCACTGATTCCTAACTCTTGATGTTATGATATTTCAATTCGATAGTTTCCACTCTTGCATATATGTGGTCTCATGATTTTTGTTGTTAGAGCACACGAACACGTGCTCAGAAAAGCATAGTTTATACATTTTTCTAAATTTTTATTCAAATATATTTAGATTATCAAATGTATTTTAAAATAAGTGCAAGATGTGCGAAGAAATAAATAGACTTTATAAAAATTATATTGTACTTTTCAGTTAAGATTTCATTATATTAAGTGAGTGAATTCTTGATACGTCACTTGTTGATACGGCGATATTCATAGTGTCAAAGTGTTTATTCTTAAATTACATGTAAGTATATCCTAATATATTTTTATATTAGTTCGTAATTAAATATAAATAAAACATTAGTTTTATAAGTAGAAGTATATAATTAGTGTATTTACATTATTTATTTGTAATAAATTCGCCGGGTTAGCGCAATATATCATACCTATTTCGAAAAAAGAAACAAATATTCAGAAGTTGTATTTTTTTTGGCAGATTTTAAGTTGGTAACAGTGCCAATATAATCCAAAAGCTTTCTTATCAGAATTACATTCTTTTGCTTCCTCATGAGGAAGCTTGTGATGATTTTCGATTTTTTAAAATTACGTTATATATGGACACATTTTTATCTAGAATTAATATATATTAAATCCTAAGCAAATGTCCAGATGTATGTGTGTATGTCACAAAATAATGTGTACAAATTATCTCAGAAACGTTTTAACGGATTGTCCTAAAATTTTGTATGCTTATATTATAATCATTAATACCTAAAATCTGACACAAGGATTTCCGAATATATTCTCACCTTTTTTTTACTATTTTTTCAAACTTTGAAAAAAAATTTCTTTCAAAATATTTTTTTCTTTGTAAATTTAATTTTGTTTGGTAAAAAAACTTATTTCTTGCATTAAAACGAATCGATTAACCTATATAAAGTTTATATTTTAATGAAATCTATAGATTATATCATTTTTTTTGAAATTTTCGAAAAAAATCGTTTTTTGTATTTTTTGAAATAACTTTTTCTTATATAGAAATTTTAATAAATTCTTGTCAAAATTGTATTCCTGGCATGAAAACGAATTGACTGAAGTATATAAAGTTTACATTTTACCAATATTTATAAAATTGATCGCTATTTTAGTTGTAATCCTTCTTTTAATCTTGAATATAAGTGTATTATTATAAGGAAGCTAAATGGTCATGAAATGAACACCTAGTTTTTATCGGGTTTTTTTTGTGGTACCGTAAAAAATATTTGATTCAATTTTTTTTTAAATAATTATTAGAACTTCATAGTTTGAGAATTCCTTAAGAGAAATATCATTTACCTGAATGAAAAATATTAATATTTAATCATTTTATTTGCAATTTTACGAAATATTAATTTGAACAACATTCAAGGTTAGCACAGTGGGACGAAAAACACTATCGTGGACAAAAATTAACATAGAGCCTACAAAATTCAACCGATTTTGACGTTCTTGGTTTTGTTTTAAAGATGATAAAATTCTGCATAACGCCTCTGATTTTGTATTTAAAAAAAAAAAATTTTCAATTGTTTATTTAATGTTAAATTTGGAAATTTTTTTTTTCTTCAAAAACAGCGTAACTTTTTAGTAAAGGCGATTATTACGTCAACAAAGGCAAAAAATTTTTTACGTATTAACCTAGAAACATATTCTGTTAATAAATTTTTTTAAAATCGCTCATAATTGTTATAAACAATTAAGTGGATTAATTACAAATAGCTTGTTTTTCTAAAATTTTGTATACCGGTAAAAATCCGGGATTTTTAATAAAAACCGGGAATTTTAATTAAATTTACATTAAAACTAATATATCCTACTAAATTTGTTGCAAAGAAATTTAAATAAAATTCAAGTCAGTCCATGACGCTCATTCACGTTATGTTAAAGCTTTAAAAGATAAAAACAAAATAAAAACTCAAAAAAAAAGTAACAAATAAATGAACGAAAAATTCAAACTCAAAAAATTAAAGAGCTTTCTATATAAAATAAAAACAGAAGTAATTAGAAGACACCCAAAATGAAATCGATACAATTAATGCAGAATTAAAAAATTTAACATAGTCGAATGGTCTCTGAAATTTTTTGGCAAGAAGAGACCTTTAATTATCGCTCTATAAAAACGGCACTAAACGTGAAAATGATAAACATTGATTTTAAAATACTTTCTTCTCGGAAGACGGACACTTTTTACAAAAGCAGCTAGAGATCGTTATCTTATATAAATTTCCTAAATCCTAAAGATTATACGAATCCATACAAAAACACATTTGCTAAACGAAAATTAATATAATGAGGGGTTCATTACCTCCTGTCGCCGTCAGATGGCAGCAGCATGCAGAGCGCACAAAGTCGCAGCTGTTATTAGATTACTTTTCTACTTTTTGTTTTGCAACCATGTTTTTCTATGGATTCCTTACAGTCTTTTGGATTTAGGAAATTTATAAGATGAGGATTTTGGCTGATTTTGTTAAAAGTGTTCGTGTTTCGAGAAAAAAGTATTTTAAAATCAATACTATTTCACGTTCATAGTGATAATTAAAGCTCTCTTCTTGCCAAAGAATTTCAGATACCGTTCGACACTCTTAGTGCATAAATATAAAAACAAAACAAGAAAATAACTTCATTATTAATAAATTTATATGAACCCAAATCTAAAACATCTATTATCTATACGCATATAAGTATATATTAAATAAATTCTGGTTCCTCATAAAACACTATTTTTAAATATTTAAAACTCAATTTGTTTTAAATTGGGCACGTAAGCTGATTTTAAAACCTATTGAGAAAAGTTTTTTATTCATCTTAGAACCATAATCAAATTTTAATTTTTCTTTTAAAATAAATATGATAACATGAAGATTTAAAATCCGCAAAAACATTTGTAGTTACTAAACTTTTCATTTAAACTTGATTCAAGCTCACCGTGAAATGTTTGAACAACTAAAAACAATACAAATCATTAATGAAACCAAGGGATTAATTATTTATAATTACAATTTAAAGGTCCTGAAAAATAACCGGGAAAAGATTCATTTTCACCTGGAAAACCAGGAAGTAGGGAAATTAAGTTAACCCTTAACTGGCTATACATTCAATTAATTTGAGCGAAAAAAAAATGCTCGGTTCTATTGGACCCATGGTGCCAATTAAGGGTTAATTGAAATTAATAATTACAGATTAATTAAATAAAAATGGTAAATTGTTTTTTATTTAAATGTTTTTTGTCTTTTTTTTTGTTTTTAAAAGGATCTTTTAATAAAATCATGGACTGCAAAAGAAGGTATGATACCTTTGATGAGAACGAAACACCCAAAAAATTATTGAAAAAGTACAAAAATAAAGATGAAGAGATAAATGATTTTTCAATTGATCAAAATGGTTATGAAGACGAAGAGGAGGAAGAAGAAGTAGAAGAGGAAGAGGAAGAAGAAAAAGTCGAATATTTTCAAGACTATTTTGAAGATGAAAGTGGTAAGTTTTAAAACATTTTTTTGATTCAAAGAATGTCTTAATGAGTAAAATGGTTCGAAAAAAAATTTAGTTAAAAAAATCTTACATTTGAGCATCATTTTGAATGTAATTTAACTAAAATTTAAAAAATTGTTCCACTCTTTAAGACATTCCCTTATAATAATATAGAGTGATTTTTATGTTCTAGATCCCCTAAATATTTTATTTAATCTTATTTTTCTCGTTTTTTTAAACAAAAAAAAGTGGAATTAAAAAAAAAATTTAGGGGCTCCGAAATATAAAAATCACTTTGTATACTTAATTGTAATAATATAAATTGTTGCTATAATTTTTGCAAGACTTTTTTAAAAACGAAATTCATGTTTTAAAAGAATTTATTTAAAAATAGACGAGAAATGTTTGAAACGAAGAAAGTTAAAAAAACATTTTCTTCATAAAGAGTATTTTAAAATATGAAATCTGTTTTTAAAAAGACTTAGAAAAAATTACATAAACAATAAAAAATAAACAACCGACTTAAAATAAATGTAAACAATATAAAATTTTATTATATTACACTATCGTCGAAAATTATCGGTACGTTAATCTAATTTTCTTGTGTCAAGACAACAATTTATGATAAAAAAAAAATATTTTTAATTATTAGAGATAAACAGTTTAGACTCAAAAATCGGTAAATAATTTATTATGCTCGCAATCTTCACAATCAATTTAATATTGTGTTTTTTTTTGAAGAAATTTTTTTAAAGAAATTTTTTTCGACAATAGTGTACATATATGTGACCCTCTACGGTGAAATAAGTGAATAGGTAAAATTTTCTGAAGGCATATTACAAAGGATTTTGATTTAATTAAAAATAAGTGGTAAATAAATTTTTCGGTGTCGATGTCGCTATTGGAAATTTGTTAACTTAATATAATAGAAGATGTTTAGGTTTGAAATAAGAAATGATAAAATTTTTAAGTTAAAAACAATTTATTTCAATGACATTTAAAATTAGGTAGAATAGTATTGGTACCTAATTAAAAATTTTCAAAACAACAATTATATAATAATAAAATGCTTGGTCTGTCCTTCTGTCCTAACTTGAAGTTGGCCTTTTCTGATTTCACGTGTTTTTTTGAATGTGTCAAATTTTGACAATTCTTTTTCTCATTTTTGCCAAAGTTGTATAATTGTGTTTCCAAATTTCGGAATAAGTTTCTTTAAAATTCCAAATTCGAAAATTCAATTCACGAAGCTGAAGTACACAACGTTTACCAACGAAATTTTTTTTAAACTTGTATATTCATTCAAAAATTCTATGCAAATACAAAAAATTTATGATGAGAAAAAAGATGCGCCAGGAAATTTCGTACAAGATAGTAATTTGAAAAAAATTAATTTTTAAAAATTAATTTTTAAGGTACCAGGAGCCAACGAATACCTATTAAATATTAATTATAAAAACACAGGCCTCGAATCAACTTAAAAAAACAAAAAATCGTTTTAGTCGATTTATATTCCAAAAAAAAGTGGATTTGTTTTTTATTTTAACAAAAATATTTTACAGATTTTTAAATAAAAAAATTTTTTTTAATAATAATCCTTTTCCAAGGGTTAAAGTTGAAATTTTTAAAAATAATTAAATTTCAAAAGATATTGTTAATTTTCAAACAATTATTAAATTTTACAGAACTAAAAATAATTTATCAAACAATTTTTGGAAAACATTTTTTAAATTTAATTGAATTTTCAAAGATTTAAAATTGAGATTTTTGAAATTAATTGAAACTTAATTAAAATTTTAGATGATTTCACTAAAAATTTATTAGAAAATGTGGACAAAATACAATAATTTAAAAATCATTTTTAATTGAAAAATGGTTGAGATGCTTTTAAATTCAAATTATTGAAAATTCAATTAATTTTGAATTCAAATTTTTAAAAATAATGAAATTTTATTTTGATTTTAAATTGAAAATTTTTGGAAAATAATTGAATTTTAATTGAAATTTTGGATAATAATTTAATTTAAGTTCAATTTTGATTGAAAATTTGGATAATTCATTTTGAATAGAAATTTTAGAAAATAATTGAATTTTAATTGATTTTGAATTGAAATTTTGGAAAATAATTGAATTTTAGTTGATTTTAAATTGCAAATTTTGAAAATAATTGAATTTCAATTGAAATTTTGGAAAATAATTGAATTTTAGTTCATTTTCAATTGAAATTTTGGAAAATAATTGAATTTTAGTTCATTTTGAATTGAAAATTTTAGGAAATAATTGAATTTTAATTGAAATTTTAGAAAATAATTGAATTTTAGTTGATTTTGAATCGAAATTTTGGATAATAATTGAATTTCAATAAAAAATTTTCAAAATAATTGGAAATTCAATTAATTTTGAATTCAAATTTTTGAGAATAATTAAATTTTATTTGATTTTAAATTTGGAAAATAACTGAATTTCAGTTCATTTTGAATTGAAAATTTTGGGAAATAATTGAATTTTAATTGAAATTTTAGATATTAATTTAATTTAAGTTCATTTTTGATTGAAAATTTGGATAATTAATTTTGAATAGAAATTTTAGAAAATAATTGAATTTTATTTCATTTTAAATCGAAAACTTGGTAAATAATTAAATTTTAAATTGAAAATTTTTGATAATTATTGGATTTTTAATTGATTTTGAATTAAAATTTCGGGTAATAATTGAATTTTAGTTTATTTTGAATTGAAATTTTTAAAAAATAATTCAATTTTATTGTGATATATTTTTTTTAAATTATAAACAATTGTTAAATTTCATAAAAATTTTAATTGAAAAATAATTTTGATATAATTGAATTTGTGATGTATTTCATTAAAATTATTAAGAATAATATTAATTTAGTGAAGAATCATTTTAGTTCAAAATTTGTTAAATAATTGAATTGAAGAAGATCTGAAGAAGATCTACATTTTATACTAAAAAAATGTATTTTATTTACATTTTTTTTCAAATGTAAAAAAAAATGTCGCATTTTATTAAAATAAGTCGATAAAAGTCGTATTTTTGAAAAAAGTCGGAAAAAGTCGTATAATCTGAGGCCTGTAAACATATAATTTTCATTATTATTATTTAATATGTAATAATATTCTAATAAATTAAATTATTATTGATAATATTAATCTTTAATTTCTTTATAACAAACAATGAAATGCCCAATTTGGCGCGCTTGCGCGCGTTTGATTTTGCTAGTGAATAATAAAAGAAACAATTAAAAAATAGGTAAAAAATATTTAAAAATTGTTTTTGAGTAACTTTTTGAAAACAGAGTATTTTTATAGGTATATATCCAAAAATTCGAAAAAAATTTCTTAAAATTGCAATATACCCTTTTTTTCGGGTTAAAATTGCAAAAACATGTTAAAACGGTAAAATATGTAAGATTTTCTGAAAGCATATGACAAAGGATTTTGATTTATTTGAAAATAAATTTTCCAAAGCCTTGGTCGGTGTCGCTAATGGAAATTTGTTAACTTAATATAATAATAGAAGATGTTTAGGTTTAAAATAAGAAATGATAAAATTTTTAAGTAAAAAACAATTTATTTTAATGAAATTTATTAGGTAGAATAGTATTGGTACCTAATTAAAAATTTGCAAAACAGCAATAAATCATTAAAAAATTGGTAAAAAATATTTAAAAAAAAATTAGAAAATAAATTTTCGATGTAAAAAAAGATTGTTTTGAGTAACTTTTCAAAAGAAGAGTAATTTTATAATATATCTAAAAATTTGAAAAAAAAATTGCTTACAATTGCAAAATAACCCTATTTTAGATTTGCTAATGTCCCTTTTACCGTGGAGCGTCACATATATTAAATATAATTTAGTTTATGAATTTTTAATCATAATTTAGAAATGCTGTATTTTTTTCAAAAAAAAAAAATTTCTTTTTTATTAGATAAAAAAAGAGGTAAATCACAAAGTCCTAAAAAACGATTGCTCAATGAAAATGGTATAAATAATGGTACTAACAATGCAGAATTGAAATCATCTAAAAAGCGGAAAAATTCTTCTTTGGAAACTAATGATAAATCCAAACGAATGCGCACAATTGCTAGTGATTTTGAAGATTCTTTTATTAATTTAGAAAATGAATTTGATGAAACTTTACTTAGCGAAATTGACAATACCAATTCAACTGATCAATTTGCTTTTCATTATTCCCATCGTTTAATTAAATTCATGTTTCAAGTTGAATTATCCATTTTGTCTTTACTCAGAAAGTCTAGACATAAGGACAAATATTTGTCGTTGATTGTGAAATTTAAAAATTCAAAAACCGGACACTTTCAAGATATTGTAATTCGTCATTCAGAATGTTCTTTTCACATTAATATTGAATATGTTGATAAATTTTACATTGTCAATGAAATTAATTACGATGTATTATTTTCAAAGGCGAAAAATAATTTTTCTTTAAACAATTATCTTAATAATTATGTTAAAAAAATTGTTTCCGATACAAATAGTTTGTCAGAAAATTCCGAATATTTTATTATCTATACAAATTCAGGATTAGATATTTCTGATGATAAAACATTGAATCAAACACGAGCGAGAAAATTTTATCCATTTCAATTGAAAAGTAATTTTGAAAATTTTAACATTAATGATTTTCTAGATGTTGATTGTCAAAATGTTGAATGTGAATTTTATCAATTTGCAAAAGATGAAAAAACACGTGAAGAATTTTTAAAACGATTAGATTTTTCTCCAACTATTAAAAAAGAAATAAAAAAAAGTAATTTTTCCGAAGAAATTTTAAAAGAATCATTTCTTAATAAATTAATTTTAGCAGTTAATCAACCGAGTAGAGAAGAATTGGTGACAATTATTAAAAATGAAATTGAAAATATTGATAAAGATTATATGCAACTTAAAGAAAAAGTTTTAAAAAAATTAACATCTCATAATGCAGATTCTTGTGATATTTTGTATAATTTTAATTTACTTATGTTTTTCATTCATGACATGTTTTTGCATAAAAAAATTAATTTTGTTAATTTTGAAGAAAAATCCACATACGATATTGGTTATAATTATAAAGGTAGAATTATTTCACTAAAAGCATGCCAAGCGGATAATAATATTGATTACGGTCAATTATTTGCTGCTAAGCGTAGAAAAGAAAGAAATTTATTTTCTATTAATAAACATTTTTCATATTTTATTGAAGAGATGGGAAAAAATGTAAAATATTATGTTATTTATACAAATGTGAAAATTGAATTGGATGATGAAATGATATTGAAGAAAGGTAGAACGAAGGATTATTTTCGTTTGAAATTAAAGGCAGTGGACGTGGGGGAAAAGAGATTTAGAATGTTAAAACGCATTGGTATTAATGAAAAAGGTTTATATCAATTTGATCAAGATGCGAGGGAAGTGGTTCAAAATTTGTTAAAATTGCCTCAATCAGCTGAGAATCATTGTAAGGAAATGTTTTTGGATAGATTAATTTTTGCCGTTGAGCAATTTGATTCTAAAGAAATGAATGAAACACTAAAATCGGAAATTGATAATGTTCCCTATAGTTATGAAGAATTGTACGAAATAGCACTTCGTTGGTTAGAGTCACGTGAATTTGGACCAATAACAAAAAGCATTGTTAACGATCTTTTAGATGATGTAAAATCTGGACGTATCAGCCTTCGGGCAATTGAGAAAAAAAGTAGAAATTTGGAAATTAATTTCGCTAAAAGTATAGTTGGCACTGAGGGTACAATGGCATTTAATCAATTTTTGCAATTTTTGGTCGAAGAAGAAGGAGGGAATTATTTGGCATTGTTAAAGAAACACGATATTAGTACAACTATTGTTTCGAGTATTTTAGGAGGTTCAGGAGGGAGGGCAACAAATACCTTTAAAGATTTGTGTGATCTTTGGTTCGATAGGGGAAATAAATCAAAATATTTGAAAACTTTGGAGCGAGAGAAAATAAATTTAACGATTATTTCGAGTATTTTGAATAAAGCAAAATCAGAGGCTCCGAATGCGTTTAAAAATCTCTATTACACTTGGTTTGATGATGAGGGTGAGAAAATGGAATGTTTGAAATGTTTGAAGAAAGAAGGTGTGAGTTTAACGACAGTGGCTGGAATTCTATCCGGAGCACGATCTAAAGCGTCAAAGGCTTTTAAAGAATTATACAAACTTTGGTTCGATGATGAAGGAAATAGAACACAATGTTTAGAATCCCTAAGGAAAGAGAACGTGAGTTTGACAAATATGTCGAGTATTTTGAGTGGAGTTGGCTCAAATGCTCCTGTTGTATTTATGGAATTGTATAATCTTTGGTTTGATTCATCGGGTGAGAGAACGGATTATTTGAAAACATTGGAAAGAGAGGAGGTTAAATTGTCACAAATGTCTAGTATTTTGAGTGGAGCCGGTGCAAAAGCTCCCGTTGCGTTTAAAGAATTGTATAATTTATGGTTTGATAATGGTAAAAAGACGTTGTATTTGAGAATTCTTGAGGAAGAGGGAATAAGTCTCACTAGTCTTTCTAGTATTCTACATGGTTCCGGAGCAAATGCAGGAAAGGCGTTTAAAAATTTATACAATTTATGGTTTGACGCAGAGGGAAATAAGAATCAATGCCTACTCCATTTGGAAGAAACAGAAGGAATTAGATTATCGAATATTTCGAGTATTTTACACAGTTCGGGAATAAATGCACCAAAGGCTTTCAAAAATTTGTATCATTTATGGTTTACAGCACATGGAAAACGAACGCATTATTTGACAACACTTGCAAATGAGGGAATATCATTATCAAGTGTTGCTTGCATTTTACATGGTGTTGGTACAAAAGCTGCTTTGGCTTTTAAAGATTTATTTGATTTTTGGTTTGACGCTGAAGGAAGAAAGTCACAGTATTTAAAAAATTTAGAAGCTAAAGGAATATATTTGAATACAATTTCAAGTATTTTAGGAGGAGCTGGTAATAATATCGCAGCTTTTAAAGATCTCTACGATCTTTGGTTTGACGAAGAGGGAAATAAGACACATTATTTGGATGCTTTGGAAACAGAGGGAATTAATTTGACAAATATTTCGAGTATTCTAAGTGGATCTGGTACGAAAGCTGCAGTGGCTTTTAAAAATTTATACGAACTTTGGTTTGATGATACAGGAAACATGACGAAATTCTTATCGAGTTTGAAAGAAGAAGGAATTAATTTAGCGAATATTTCGAGTATTCTTCACGGTTCTGGAACGAATGCTGTGAAAGCATTTCAAGATTTTTATTACTTATGGTTTGATCAAGAGGGAAATAAGACAGATTGTTTGAGAGTACTTCAGCGAGAAGATGAGATAAATCTTACCAATTTGTCGAGTATTTTGAATGGTTCGGGTATAAAAGCTGCTGAGACATTTAAAAATATTTACGATCTTTGGTTCGATGAAGATGGTAATAAAACTAAAGATCTTCAAATTTTGGAGAATGAGGGAATAACACTGTCAAATGTATCGAGTATTTTACATGGATCTGGTACAAAAGCACCGAAAGCATTCAAAGAACTTTGTAATACATTTTTCAACGAAAACGGAAGTAAGAACAACTGCTTAAAACACTTTATCGGTAGGAAAAAGGACGAAAATTCTTTTAGATTTCACAATTTATCGAGTATTTTAACCAAAACGGGATTAAATGCCAAAGATACTTTTCAAGAGCTTCATGATTTGTTTTTCGATTCCGAAGGCAATAGATCGGAATTTTTAACTCATTTCTACAATGCTGGTTTTAAACCCAGTAATTTATCATCAATTTTATGTGGAACGAGAACTCGTGCTTCGATACATATTCAAAAATTCCATGATATTTGCTTCTATCAAAATGGAGAAATATCGAAATTTTTGGACGATTTTTTGAAAGTTGGTTTCAAACCTGGAAATCTTTGTAGTCTACTGAGCGGAGCACCAAATAATTTTGAAAAATTTCATGATTTTTGTTTCAATGATGAGACAAAACATTATTTATTCAATTTTCTAAATGACGAAAATGGCTTTACAGTGAGTAATTTAACAAAAATATTACATGCATCGGGTGTTAATGTTTTTGTAGCATTTGAAGATTTTCATAATGTTTGTTTCGATAAAAATGGAGAGAAATCGAAAATATTTAATGATTTTCTAAAAGTTGGCTTTACACCAAAAGAATTGGCTAATATTCTCTCAATGTCGGGAAGTAATGCCTCTCATATTTTCATTAAATTTCATCAAATTTGTTTCAAAGATAATTATCTCAATGATTTTCTCAAAGAAGAGGCAATTTTTCCCACAAGTGAATTATCGAAAATATTATTTGGCGTTGGTGTCAATGTTTGTTCAATTTTTGAAAAGTTACACAATTTTTGTTTTCACGCTGATGGAAGGAAGACGAAAAAATTGAAAAAATTGATTAAAAATGAAGAGAATATCACTGAAGTTTTACGTGATAGTGTGAAAAAAACAAGGGCTTTATTTTTAGATGAGGAATTATTGGAACAACAAAATAATGAAATTGACTCGTCATTGATGATGTGTTTGGCAAGAAATAATATAAATTTAACAATTGAACAAAAAACGGAGAATCTTGTTAATTTTCTTAAAATTATTCCTTCGTTAAAGCAGGGAATACTTCATCCACTACGAAAAGATACATTTTTAAAAAGATTGTGGCTTGCAATTAATGATTTTAAACCATATAAATTGAATAAACTTATGAAGGAGGATATTAATAAGCATAGAATTCTTTTGACTGAAGATGATGTGCAAAAAATAATGACACGTAGTGCGGAATTTTATAATTTTACACCGGTATCGAGGGAAGTTATTGATAAATTGACCGAGGAGATAAAAAGTAATAAATTTGAATCTGAAATTCAGGTGAGAAATATTAGTGAAGAAATGAAATTTGCTAGGGGAATTGCTATTGAAGGGACGGGTTCTTATTATTCACTATTGGAATTTTTGGTAAAAGGAGATGGAAAGAAGTGTTTAAATGTTTTGAAAAAATTGGGTATGAATATTGGTGGTATAACAAAAATGTTGAAAAATTCAGCGAATTTATCGGAGAAAAGTTTTCGTGATTTGTACAATGTGTTGATTGATAATGGGGAATTTTCGTTTTATGTAAGAAATTTAGAAAATGCAAGAATCGATTTGTGTAGATTTACCAGTATTTTGTGTTTTGCGGGACCTGTGGCAGCTAGCGCTTTTCAGGATCTCTATAATCTTTGGATTGATTCCGAAGGAAAGAAATCAATCTACCTGATAACTTTGGAACGTGAAGGTATTAATTTAACGAATATTTCGAGTATTTTAAGTGCTTCTGGTGGTAATGCAGCGAAAGCATTTAAAGATCTCTTTAATCTTTGGTTTGACGATGAAGGAAATGAAACGCATTGTTTCAAGACTTTAAAAAAACATAAAATACGTCCAGGATTAATGTGTACAGTTTTATCAGGTTCTGGTTCAAAAGCACCGGAGAATTTCAAAGATTTATTTAATCTTTGGTTCAATAAAGAGGGGGAGAAAACAAAATATTTAAAATCTCTTGAGGCAAATGATATTAATGTTGGTATTATTGCTAAAATTTTAACATCAGCTAGAGGAAATGCATCGAAGGCTTTTATATCTTTATATCAGCTTTGGTTTGATTCGGAGGGAAATAAAACGAAATATTTGAAAAGTTTAGATCGTGAGGGAATAAAATTGTCACTTGTTGCTAGTATTTTATCAAGAGCTGGTAGCAATGCTAAAGAAGCTTTTGAGGATATGTATAATTTTTGGTTTGACGCTGATGGTAATAGAACGCAAATTTTGGAGAATTTAATTAAAGCTGAAATAAAAGTTGATGATGTTTGTAAAATTGTTCGTGGAGCTGGTGCAAGAGCTGGTGATACATTCAAAGAGTTGTATGATTTATTGTTCGATGATGAGGGAAAGAAGAGAAAATTATTGAAAACATTTGAAAAAAATGGTTTAACCATTGACAGTCTATCGTCAGTTTTGTCGAAAACAAATACACATGGACCGAAAATTTTCAAGGAATTGTATAATCTTCTTTTCGATGAGAAAGGAAAGAAAACAATTTACCTACGTGTTTTGAATAGAGAGAATATAAATTTGAATACATTTTCAAAAATGCTGTTGGGAATTAAAAATAATTTTGTGAAGACTTTTAAAGAGATATTTCATTGTTGGTTTGATGAGGAGGGAAATAAAACACATTGTTTGACAACACTTGAGGAAAATGGTATTAATTTGACAAATTTGTGTGCTATTTTATTTGGTTCAGGTGTGACGGTTAAAAAAACATTTTACAATTTATATGATCTTTGGTTCGATGAGGAGGGAAATAAAACACATTATCTGATACCAATGGAGAAGGAGGGATTGCAACTCACTGATTTGTCTAATATTTTATATACATCGGGTAGTAATGTTGTGAGAATTTTTCAAGAACTTTTTGAACTTTGGTTCGATGAGGATGGTAATAAAACAATTTGCGTTAAGAATTTACAAAATGAGGGAATTAGCCTCAATGATTTGTCACATATTTTACAAAATGCTGGTATACATTCGGCAAAGACTTTTCAAGATTTGTGTGAATTTTGGTTTGATTCTGATGGTAATAAAACATTGTATTTGAAACATTTGGAAAAAGAAAATGTCACATTGAGCGATATGTCTGATGTTTTGAATAAATGCGGTGGACAGGCGGCAAAAATTTTTAAACAATTGTACAATTTTTGGTTCGATAAAAATGGTAATAAGACAATATTTTTGAAGACTATGGAAAAAGAAGGTGCTAATTTGAAAATTATTTGCGGCATTATAACTAAGTCAAGAACAACATCACCAGTGGTTTTAAAAGAGTTGTATGAATTTTTGTTTGACAAGAGTGGAAAGAAGGGTAAACATTTGAAAATTTGGGAAAAAGAAGGTGTTAAATTGGGTACATTATGTCGTGCTCTTAAGGGAACGGAAACAAATGCTCTTGTTGTGTTTAAAAATTTATATAATCTCTGCTTTAATAAACAGGGAAGCAAATCGAAATATTTAAATACATTTGCAAAGGAGGAAATTGATATTAATTGTCTTCTAAGTATTTTAATTGGAGCCGGAAGTAGTATTTGTAAAACATTTATTGAATTATATAATCTTTGGTTTGACGCTGAAGGCAATAAAACGCAGTATTTGACAATTTTGGAAAAAAATAATATCCCTCTAATGAATATTGCAATTATTTTAACTGGATCTGGAAAAAAAGCTGTTCATGCTTATAAAAAATTATTTAGCATTCTTTTCTATGAGAATGGGGATAAAACTCCACATTTAAAGCGTTTTATTGAGAAAAATGATTTTACAATAAATGATTTGTCGGCAATTTTAAGTGGTTCAGGTAGTCGTGTACAAGATGCTTTTGAAAATTTCAATAGAACTTTGTTTGAACGTAATGGCAAAAAAACGTCATTGTTGAAAAATTTCTTTAATGCCGATTTTCATGAAAAGAATTTATCTTGTTTACTGTTAGGTTCGGGAAATTCTGCATCATCAAATTTAAAACAATTTCATAGAATTTGTTTCAATCATCAGGGTGAGATGAAATTAATTTTAAATGACTTTTTCAATGTTGGTTTTACAAAATTTGATTTGTGCTTTATAATTAGTGGATCATCGATTTCTTTAAATGAATTTCATGATTTTTGTTTCGCAGAAGAGACGAGGAATAATTTAACAGATTTTCTCAATGATGAAAATTCTTTCACTGCCAGTCATTTATCTTTAATATTAAATGGAGCAAATTTAAATATTTGTAATGCTCTCAAAGAATTTCATGACGTTTGTTTTGAAAATGATAATAATGAAATTAGTACAATTTTCAATGATTTTCTTCAAATTGGTTTTACACCAAATCAGTTAGCTAATATTTTAGCAATGACAGGAAATAATGCTTCTTTTGTATTGAAAAATTTTCACGATTTATGTTTCAATGAAAATAATTATTTAAATCATTTTTTGTCAGTGAAAAAAATTTTTAAACCAAAAAATTTAGCAAAAATTTTCAATGATACCGGCAATAGTGTGTGTTTGGTTTTTGAAAAATTACACAGTCTTTGTTTTAATGAAAACGGTGACAAAAGTGATTATCTAAATGATCTTTTAAATAGTGATGAAAAGAAAATGATTCTTGAAAAAATAATTGAAAAAGCTAAAAAATTTAGTGTTAAATTTAATTGTGATGTGTCGTTAGAAAAGAATATTATAAAATCTTACAGAATTGACCGAGTAAAATAATTCTAAATTTATAAAATGTAAATATCTAAAATTTTTTTTAGAAATCAATAAAAAAAAATAAATTTATTTAAATTCAGAGAAAATATGTCATGAAAGAAAAGATAAGAAGTAAATAAAAAAAATTAATATGCAATAAAAGTATATTTTAATAATGAAGCCAATGAAAATATTTTTCATAAATCATTGTATAAATCATTCAACTATTATTATTATATTGTTATTATTATGTCGATTTAAGATTTTTGAATATTAAATAATTCTCAGGAATTAGATAATTTTAAATAAAATGTAAGTTAAAAGATTTTATTATTGTAAAGAATTAAGCGAATATTCCAATATATATATATTTTTACGAAAATAACAGTGTGATGTATCTACGTATGTATATATTTTTTAAAAAAATATCAAATTATAAAACGTAAATAAATGCCGTATTTTTTAATTACTAAAATCGTTAAATTTTTTTTATTTTATTACCTACTGTTATTTTAATTCTAGGTATATAAAAGGACGACATTTGTCAGGAGAGTTCAGTTCAGATTTTGGTACCAGCACATCATCTTCATATACGAAATTTTGTAGAAGTACTGTTACTCTGCCCAATTTTATACTCAAGTTGAACTTAGAAGAATCTCTGTGTCAATTTTGAAAATTTATTCTCAATTTAAATTTATTTTTTTTTTAAATAAATTTATTCATAAATTAAGAAATTCATTTGTTTAAGGAGGCATTGAAATGATATTTTAATTTTTTTTTTTTATTGTTTTAAACATATTTATTTATTTTTTTCTGACATAATTCTAAAAATATAGTCTGCTTTTTTTCAGTGAAACATTTTTTTTTTTTTTTTTTTTAATTTTTATTCTACTCGCAATAAAACAAGTACTTCGATGATTTAAGTTCACATATTCTATTACCTCTCTATATATATACTTATCGAAGTACATCAACAATCTGCAATAAAATTTACAATTGTTTTTTTTTTTTTTAATACATTACATCTCTAAAAAAAAAATTATCACGCATGAAATATTCACGAATACATTCTTCTAACTTTATTTAATAATTTAATAATAGTATTTAAATTTTTAACTGATGACTCGTAATCAAGCAACAATAATGTGAATATATTTCGATTTAAGTCTTGTTACAAAAATTTTTATTCAGAAAATAATATATTTTATATTTATATATTATTATAGAGAAATAAATTTATCTATATATGAAGAATTTTTTTTTATAAATATAATAAATAATAATTTTATATTAAATAATCAAGAAAAAAAATATCTTTGTTGGTAGATTATATTCATATACGAAAAAATATTATTTGAAAAGTAGTGTTAGGCTTTAATGACTTTTTTTTGCGTAATAATTAATAATTAATAATTTTCCTGGAATTCTTTAACGAGATGTAATAACGCGCATTTTGTGGAATTTTTTTTTTTATAATTAATTCGTTGATTAGAAATTTGATATTTAGGAAGATTTTTTAAATTATTAGTTTTATGATTAAATCATATATTTTATTATCATTTGCTTCTTTGGAATATTTACGCGGTAATTCAAAAAAAATTTTTTATTTTTAACTTATTTTCTTTAGTCTTAATAATTTATTTCAATAATAAAAATATATTTTAAAAAAAAGAGTACTGAAACATATTTTTTTTTTTTTTTAAATAAATATTTTGTTTCTAAATTAATTTCCACATTTGTTCGCGAAAAAAATATATAGAATTTTTTTAAAAATCAATTTAAATAATTCCTACAACCACTTTTCCCATAATTCTCTTTTGTATAAGAATTGAAAAATATTGAAGATTACAAATATGCAGTATCCATATTATATGAAATTATCGAAAATATAATAATTTTTTTTTTTGTTTCGACATTGATGTAAATCGCTATTGCTTTTTTTTTACATAAATAATAATGCAATATCGATGATTTCATTTCGATGTTGATCTATTTAATATACAGGGTGTGATTTTTATGTTCCAAAAAAATTTTTTTAATTCCAATTTTGTTTTATTTAAACGAAAAAAATGAGAATAAAAAACATTTTTGATCCGGAACATAAAAATCCTGTATAAAGACTATATTTGACATTTTTTTTTTATAATAATATGCGTTAAGGCAGTTCAATTCCGTGACATAACCTCAAAATAAAAAAAAAATTTTTATCAGCAAATAAAACTATAATTATAATTTATATTACTCAATTTTTGAAAAATCGAGTTGTACAATTTTCAAAATGAAAAAATTATTTTCTACAAAATTCTGATGTCAATAATGTGTTTTTCGTTTTAAAATTATAGTAAACAATTATGTAATTTTTAATATTTTATTAATTTATAAGCAAAATTTTTTTCGAAAATTGTTTCAAAATCTTAGTTTTATTTATTTGTTTCTTTTTATATTTTTGTAAAACATTTTTTTCTTAAAAATCAGTTTGAGGTTATGTCAATGGGTTATTGAACTTCCTCAAATAATTTTTTTTTTTTTTTTTTTTTTGTAAAATACGAGAAAGCATTAGGTACATATCCACTTTCTTTTCTATTTTTGTATTGATCTTACAGATTTTCTAAGTTTTTTTTTTCTTTTTTTTTTTTAAATATTATACGACTATAATAATATAAGTATTGTAAATTGTTTAATGCTGAATTTTTAACGTTTAGATAAATACGAATCTTGTTCGTTGCTTAACTTATAATAAATATCTACTTAAATATTAACATATTCTAAATTTGAAGATAGTGGAGGATCACGGCAGTTTTACCTCTATATTTACACCTATCGGCAGTTTTGTAGAGGCATCACATCATTTTTTTTTCTTTTTTTTTCTTTTTACAGGTATAAGTACATCTTCATAGATAATTTTTTTTATTTCACTTCGTCTTCAACATTATTAATTAATGGTAAAAAAATAATTAAAAAGTCTATATGTTTCTTGCTTCACTATTAGACTGAATAATATTTTAAGTAACAGTAATGTGATTTTAAAGAGATTGTCATATAGTGATGGGATTTTGAAATCGAATTTTTATTGAAATTAACCATTAACTGGCACTATGGGTCCAGGAGACCCGAGCATTTTTTCTCGCTCAAATTAATTTTGAATATTTTTTATATTTTTTATATTTTAATATATATTAGTTATAAGTAATTTTCTAAGTATTTTGATACAACTAATTCGATACAAAAGAATAAATTAGCTTCAAACATTAATAAATTATAAATTTTTACGTCTAACCTAAAAATTCACATTTTATTCTGCAAAATAAATACCTTTTTTTGCAAGTCCTGCTGTTGTGGTAATATTTTCCTTAAAAATAATATAAACCTTAAATTTTTAAGTAATAATATTAAAAATTTTAAATAACTCATGAATTTTCAAGTAAAAACACGCAATTTTTTTGGTTTTTATTTTTCACAATTTTTTTTACTAAAAATAAATTAACCCACTGTAAAACTAATGAAAATTTTAAAAAAATACATGATAAGCTACCTCAGATTAAATTTTTGGGCAAAAATATTTAAAATCGGCTGGTACAATAGTTTTGAATACGTCGGGGGTCTAGTAGACCCGCTGTGCGATTTACGTTCGAATTGTGCCAGTTAAGGGTTAAAAAAAAGCAATTTAATTTCTTTTCTTTTTTTATCAATTGACAATAAAAGAGATTTTAGAACAAATCCTCTGATCATTAAAATGAAGAGTATAAAACTTTTGACGAGATAAAATGTAAAACGTGATTATATTCTAAACTTGAAGATAGTGAAGAATCATGGAAATTTTATATCACTGTCATTTAAAGTTATTTTTATAGGAGTTTGATAAAAAGGTTTTTATGGTTAATAGAATTTTTTTTTTTTGTGAGTACGAATAAGAGGTGCGAGAATGATTAAAAAATATCGATTCTTATAATAATAAATTATTTTTGGATTTTTTTTTCATAAATATATTTTTTAATTTTTTAATTTTAATTTTTTAATTTTAATGTTTTAATTTTAATTTTTAAAATCAAAAAAATATCGATTATATTTTTTCCCATCACTAAATTTTGTTTTTCCTTTTTTTTTACGCAAAATTTGAATTTACAATTTTCAGTTTGTAGTGCAGAATTCAAAAAATTGAACTGCTAATTATGACTAAACACATTTATTGAGATTCATAATAAAAAAAAAAAAATATAGCACAAAAAAAAAAATAAAACGGTGCTTTTGTGGTCCACTTTTACCTAATTTACAATATATTTGCGCTTTTATGGAATGATGCTTTTGTAAAAATGTATAAATAATTACTGGTTCTTTTTTTTGTTATCGATTCTTCGAAACCAGATTTTTCATCTCTTGAATCATTATTATTTATTATTCGTTTTTTTTTTCGAGGAAAATTTAAGGAAAAATCGAACGGACACTCAGAAACAAAAGTTTTAGTCCAACTTCTTATTTTTCTATTTTTATTTAAAAGAAAAATAATTTTAAAAAAATTTTTTCGATAAATTTTTTTATTTTCAATTAATAAATTAATAAATAATAATAATAATAATAATAATCAAATAATAATAATAATAATAATAATAATAATCGAATAATAATAATAATCGAATAATTAAACTATTCAAATTTGAATGGGAAAAATTTCTCACAGTGAGAAACTTTCGAACTGTGCGAATTTAAATTGTTTTCAGAAAATTGTAATTTTTATAAAAAAATGGTTCAGAATATTAAAAATTAAATTATTTAAATTTTAAAAAATTGGTTTTATTTGTTTTTTTTAATATTTGAAAACATTGAATTGGACTAGTAACTTTTTTTGTTTTGTTTGTCTGTTTTTTTTCCCCTAAAACTGAAAGTGGAAAAATATTTATTATTTTCATATCACACATTATATAGGTCAATATTTCTCAAGTGTTTCTCAAATATTCAATTCTTTTTTTTTTTGCTTCCAAATAATCGTTTTAAATAATAAAATTTTAATTGAAATTCAATTAAAATTTTATTGAATTTTTATTATTCAAAAAAAAGTCTTTTCTTCCACTCGAAGAATATGAATTTTTTCATTTCTCGTAAAAAAAAGTTACGATAGGATAATAAAAAAAAAAAATTTTCCCGATCAATAAATATTTTAATTATATTCTATATGGAGGGAAATAAATTTAAAAAAAAAGAATTTTTAAAATTAACACTTGAAAAATTTGTTCTATATAAGTTGGCAATTTTTCTACTACAAATTGGTTAAAAATAAATCATGGAAATAAAAATTATTTTATTTCGAATAATAAAATTGAGAATTCTCTCATAATTAATTATTTACTTCCAATTAAATTACCTGAAATAGAAATAAAAATAGATTTATTGGAAAAACGAAAAAGCCAAGTTTGTAAAAAAAAAAAAAAATAATATATTTGAAATAATTTAGAGAGAATTTTGGCGAGACAAGTTTTTAAAAATTTAATCGCGCCGTCTGGACCTGCAGACCTTAAATTTTATATTGAAATACATATTTTTTTTCTCTCACACAAAAATTCTTTTCTTGATTTTTTTTTTTTTTTTCTTCTCCTAAAAGTAGTTCATTGTCAGTAGATTTTGTCCAAGTTTGTGACTCGAACACGCGCTCCTCGCAGGAAATGTGATAAGATGATGACGATGAAAAGAGCAATGAGACGACCTAGTGTTGGTCGATAAGCGAAAGATCAGCCAAAGATGTTGCTTACGAGTGAGTTGAAGCTGTTGCTAATCGATGAGAAGATCCCGTTGTTGGTATCAGATGCTGTACTGGCACCGGAATTTGGTCTAAGATGAAGAGTATAGTCGCGATGTGGATAAGGTCGAACCGCTACACCCCCGCCGTACACACCCAGACCAATGTCGCCGTTATCATCCTGTCTCTGGAGATAGCAAAAAAAAAAAAATTCAAATCAGATTATTTCACCAAAAAAAAAAAAATATTAAAAAATCAATCGAAAAATGTTCTTTTTAAATATTTCTATTTTAAATATTTATTAAATATTTTTTTAAATATTTAATTTAAAATTGAAAAAAAATATATGTGGATCAGATTTTCATTTGAAATTTTTTTTTCTTGAAATCTTTGTGAAAAATAAGAAAATACGTATTTTTTTATTTGGGTATTCGATAAAAATTGTGGAAGTTATAATTTTTTTAAATTTAACTTCACCAAGGGGCCGAATATTATTGAAATGCTTCCTACTAATAGATAAAACAAAATAATATTATTTATGAAATTCATTCGATTTTTCTTTACTATTTTTAATAGGTGGTAAATCGAAGAAATTTTATATTAATTTTTATCTGTTAGTAGAACAGAGAAAAACGTCGCCGAAATTATTCGGCTTCTGTCGAACGTTAAATTTAAAAAAAAAATCATAACTTCCATAATTTTTATCGAATAAAAAAATAAAAAAATATGTATTTTCTCATTTCTCACAAAGATTTCGAAAAAAAATTACCGAGTCAAAAAAAAAATAATTTCGAATGAAAATCTCACGTTAAATGCTCCTTATTGGTAAATAAATTACCTATTAATTAATTATTTAATTAGTAATTAATTTGATTACTAATTAATTATTTAATTAGTAATTAATTTGATTAGTAATTAATTATTTATTTAGTAAATAATTATTTAGTTAGTTAATAATTATTTAATTAGTAATTAATTATTATTAAATATTTTCAATTGCTATAATTAAATTTTTGTTTTTTGGAAAAAAATTATAATTCATTAAAATGTTTTTTTCTTTAACATGCATACATATACAATATAAAAAGCATAGGAAAAGGCTGAAATTGTAAATAACAATTAAATAAGCAAATAAAATAGTGAATAAGAACAAGAGTAATAAATACACTTTATGTTCTTCACAAAAAAATTAAAATATTAATGAAATTAAATAATAATAAATACATTTATCGTTATCATCATTCTCTTACTTTTTTTCTGTGAATATAAATTTTTTATAAAAATGCAATTTACCGTTTATTAAAAAGAAATTATTTAAACAAAATATAAAAAATAAATATTATGATGTATTTAAAAAAGTATACACAATCGAATAAGCGTATGAAATTGCTAGAACAGAAAAATTGTTCAGCGTTGAGGATTTAAAATTTGGATTTTTAAAAAATATTAATATTAATTAAAATTAGTTAATTGTAATTAATTAATTATATATAATAATAAAATGCTTGGTCTGTCCTTCTGTCCTAACTTGAAGTTGGCCTTTTCTGATTTCACGTGTTTTTTTGAATGTGTCAAATTTTGACAATTCTTTTTCTCATTTTTGCCAAAGTTGTATAATTGTGTTTCCAAATTTCGGAATAAGTTTCTTTAAAATTCCAAATTCGAAAATTCAATTCACGAAGCTGAAGTACACAACGTTTACCAACGAAATTTTTTTTAAACTTGTATATTCATTCAAAAATTCTATACAAATACAAAAAATTTATGATGAGAAAAAAGATGCGCCAGGAAATTTCATACAAGATAGTAATTTGAAAAAAATTAATTTTTAAAAATTAATTTTTAAGGTACCAGGAGCCAACGAATACCTATTAAATATTAATTATAAAAACACAGGCCTCGAATCAACTTAAAGACACAAAAAGTCGTTTTAGTCGATTTATATTCCAAAAAAAAGTGGATTTGTTTTTTATTTTAACAAAAATATTTTACAGATTTTTAAATAAAAAAATTTTTTTTAATAATAATCCTTTTTCAAGGGTTAAAGTTGAAATTTTTAAAAATAATTAAATTTCAAAAGATATTGTTAATTTTCAAACAATTATTAAATTTTACAGAACTAAAAATAATTTATCAAACAATTTTTGGAAAACATTTTTTAAATTTAATTGAATTTTCAAAGATTTAAAATTGAGATTTTTAAAATTAATTGTTTAAGTGTTTTGTAATTAAAATTTTAGATGATTTCACTAAAAATTTATTAGAAAATGCGGACAAAATACAATAATATTATAATATAATACAGTATAAAATATTATTATATATAATAATAATATTATAATAATAATATTATTAAAATAGTTAAAAATAATTGAATTTCCTTAGAGTTATAATTGAAATTATTAAATTTCAAAAAAAAATTTTTCGATGGAAAATTTTAGAAATAATTAAATTTTAGATGCTTTTAAATTCAAATTATTGAAAATTCAATTAATTTGGAATTGAAAATTTTGGGAAATAATTGAATTTTAATTGAAATTTTGGATAATAATTTAATTTAAGTTCATTTTTGATTGAAAATTTGGATAATTAATTTTGAATAGAAATTTTAGAAAATAATTGAATTTTATTTCATTTTAAATTGAAAACTTAGTAAATAATAAAATTTTAAATTGAAAATTTTTGATAATTATTGAATTTTAATTGATTTTGAATTAAAATTTCGGATAATAATTGAATTTTAGTTTATATTGAATTCAAAATTTTTAAAAAATAATTCAATTTTATTGTGATATTTTTTTTTTAATTATAAACAATTGTTAAATTTCATAAAAATTTTAGTTGAAAAATAATTTTGATATAATTGAATTTGTGATGTATTTAATTAAAATTATTAAAAATAATTAATTTAGTGAAGAATCATTTTAGTTGAAAATTTGTTAAATAATTGAATTGAAGAAGATCTGAAGAAGATCTACATTTTATACTAAAAAAATGTATTTTATTTACATTTTTTTTTCAAATGTAAAAAAAATGTCGCATTTTATTAAAATAAGTCGATAAAAGTCGTATTTTTGAAAAAAGTCGGAAAAAGTCGTATAATCCGAGGCCTGTAAACATATAATTTTCATTATTATCATTTAATATGTAATAATATTCTTATAAATTAAATTAAAAAATCATGGTTTTTTAATGAGGTAAAGTTCAGTTTTAAAAAAATTAATACTTAAAGGTAAAAATTGAGAAAAATTATATTTGACCGTAAATATTTTGTTTTTCAAAATTTCCTGTACACTCTAAATAAATAATTTGAATAAATGATTCTCATAGATGTTGAAAATTAGTTTCGAGCTTAAACAAGAGTACATTACGAATTTCGAGTTTCTTGCTTTCCAAGTGGTCAACACGATTTTGGTCTAGAAACTAAGTTCCATCTATATACAGCATGTACATACATATTATCAGAATCTCCACAAAATTTCAAATGTTTCTAAAGTATATTCAAATTCACAGAAATAAATTTCATACATTCAATTAAAATTAATTAAAACATTTGAGTTTTGAGAAAAAATATTTTTTTAAATTACTACTCATATTGTAAATCGAATTGTAAAAATTTTTCCAAAAAAATTGGATCTGACAGAAATAAATAATTTCATTTTCAAGGCCTTGGATTATACGACTTTTTTCGACTCATTTAAATAAGATGCGACTTTTTCGAAATTTTTTACATTATTTTTTTTTACAAAATATTTAAACAAAATACGTATTTTTTGATTTGAAATTTAATAATTTCAATTATAATTCTTTCGAAATTAATTAATTTCTAATAATTTTTTTAATATTCTTCAAAAATTCAATATTATCTGAAAGCATTTTTTAATTAAAATTTTGTAGACGAATTTTTATTTGTTAGAATTCTTGAAACGCCGAATTTTTATTTGTCCGAATTTTTGCAAATGTCCGAACAAACAATCGACAAAAAGATTTCGGCGCGATTTTTAAAATTCACCAATCAAAAGTTGTCAAGAATATCGTGATTGGTAAATTTTAAAAATAGCGCCGAAATCTTTCTGTCGATTGTTTTTTTCGGACAAATAAAAATTTCGCTTTTTTAAGAATTCTACAAAATTAAAAATTTGATGCCTAAAAATTTTGTTAATTAAAAAATTCTTTAAAAACGAAATTCTAACAAATATTAATTCCAAAAATGAAAATTCGTCTAAAAAAATCATGCGATCTATTTTAAAAATCAAAATTATAAATCTTCAAAAATTTAATTACTTTAAAAAAAATTTTTTTCTAAAATTATTTAATAAATTATTTTCAATTCTGTAAAATTAAAAATTATTGTTTGAAATTTAACAAAATCTTTTGAAATTTAATTAGAAAAAATTTCAACTGTAACCTATTCCAAAGATGAATTATTTTTTAATAATTATAATATTTTTTTAAAAATTCAATTATTTTAAATATAGTGTTAAATAAAATTTATAAAATTGAATTGTCAGAATTTTTTTTTTTAAAGAAATTTGTCCTTTAATTAAAATTTTAAAAATTTACGTCTTCGATTCCGAAATATTCGAAATAAATTACATTATCAAAAATATATAATATCAGCATTATTGAAAAATACAACTTTTTTGACATTTAGGGTTTTTTTTAAAAAAATTATTTAATACTGGCTGAAAACTAGTTTTCGATCTGAATTAAAATTTAAAAAAAAAATTATCTTTAAAAATTTTGTGCAAACTCTAAAACAGGAAACAATGAAATATTATTTTATCAGCTAAAAGGTACAATCACTTGGATTATATGTCCACAGAGAGAGAGAGAGAGAGTGATATATATATATATATATATATATATATATATATATATAATAGGGATGAAATCAGTAGGAAGATATTGTTCGTGTCTGTTTCCGTGACTCGAGGCTGTCACATTAAGTGACATGATGCTCGAAATGGATTATGTTGCTCGTTTGGTGAAAGTAGGGCGCGATTCTTCTTCATTCCGGAAACCTAGCGACACTTTTCTAATTCAACAAAAGGACCAAATTATCTTCTTTCAGAAATGAACCTTTCACCATTTTTCCAACTACTTATTTTCAACATTTTTTTTTTTTTTTTCTTTTCTTCTTTTTGCTCATCAAGTCATTAAATATTTGACGCTTCATGAGCTACT